TATTTGAGTCAATTAAAGGATATTTGTTTTAAATACAAAAATTATTGGTTCAAATACAGTTTATTCAATTTAAATAAAATTTTTTTGGTATTATCAGTATACTTTTAAAGTGCAGAATATATTTTTTTCTTGTTCTTTAGTGAAAAAAAAGAGATACGTTTTTTTAATTTTTTTTAAATTTTTGAGTTATGAATTTTCAAAATTTCAGTTTCTTCAATGTAGACCTATTTTCAATGGCTGATAACTCGAAAAAAATGGATTTTTTCAATTTTTGATAAGAAAAAAAAAGTTTCAGTTTTTCTTTTACTTTTCAAAAATGTTAACAAAAAAATTTTTTTTTCATTTTTTATTAAAAAAATATCAATTTTTTATAAACAAATTAAGCTTTTTTTTAATTTGGATATGATATTTTTAAAATTTTTTTTATAAAAACAAACCTGGAAATACTAAGAAGGTTTTGCAAAAAAATTTAGAGTGGGCCGATAAGTTTTATAGGTTTAAATAAACATTTAAACACTGCGCGCAGCATTTTTCGCATTTTTGAAAATTAAAAAAAATTGTTAAAAATTAAAAAAAATTGTTAAAAATTATTTTTTTTTTATTTTTCATAGTGAAATATGATTTCAGGTTCCAAAAAAAATGAAAAAAATAATTTTTAACAGTTTCTTGTAATTTTCAGAAATGTGCAAAATTACAAAGAATTGTAAAATTCTTAAGAATGTTTTTTTTCTATTTCCTGGAACCTGAAATCATATTTCACTATGAAAAATGAAAAAAAAATAATTTTTAACAATTTTACAATTTTTTTTAATTTTCAAAAACGCGAAAAAAGCTGCGTGCGGTGTTTAAATGCTTATTTAAACCTATAAAACTTATCGGCCCACTCTAAATTTTTTTGCAAAACCTTTTTAGTATTTCCCGAGGGGCTGTTCACTCTCAAATACCCGATTTGTAATGTAGAGAATATACTAGGTATCTTCCGAATATTCATCAATTAACATAAGAAAATATAAATTTCTTGATTCTGAATAAATTGTATTTTAAGTGGAGATTACCGGCGATTACTGAAAAGGACGTTCGAATTTGTCGAATACTATGCGAATCCAACAAATCTCGTCGATTACAGTAAAATCCTAAGTCATGCAGTAAGAATTGTTGCGAGTCACGAATGGTTACGGAGAAATACGAGCGAATTCGGCGGCAGCCGATTATTATTATTATTATTATTATTATTATTATTATTATTATTATTATTATTATCTAGTCTGCAACACGAAGCAGCGCAAAGAAGGAATTTGTGAAAATACTGTGAATATCAACGAGTCCGTGCGATTCCATTCGAATCCGAAGCCGAATACGTACGAGTCCTAAAAATCTTTAATGAATTCTCCAATATTGTTCAATTGGATTTTCAGTGAACAGCCCCTCGGTATTTCCAGGTTTGTTTTTATAAAAGAAATTTTAAAAACATCATATCCAAATTAAAAAAAAAACTTAATTTGTTTATAAAAAATTGATATTTTTTTTAATAAAAAATGAAAAAAAAATTTTTTTTTCACAGAAAATTAAAAGGCATTAAAATAAGCTGCAACGCTTATTATTTTAATCCAATTTTGCTTATTTTAATCCATTTTGGTATTGAAATAAGCAAAATTGGATTAAAATAATAAGCGTTGCAGCTTATTTTAATGCCTTTTAATTTTCTGTGTTGTTAACATTATTGAAAAGTAAAAGAATTAACCTATTTTAATTTTAGAATGAATAAAAGTCAGTTGTTTAGCAATTTATAACATTTATTATAAAGAAAAGAATAAGATTGAATTTATTTAACTGAACTTTGTAATTTGCTTCGATACCAAAAAAAGAAGAAAATTATTCATTCATTATTCATTCATTTTAACTTTTACTTGATGTTTAAAGTCGAACAATCGGCTCCCCGAAAATAGTTTCCAAATTGGCGACAAATTTTAATGTTATTTGATATTTATATACATTATAACGACGAAGTAGTATAAGGAGATATATCACCTATGGCCGGCTCTAACGGAATGTTTTCGATATTCACGGTTCTCAAGTTTTCACCAATCTAATTACACTTGCGCCTCTAGAGGGAAACCTCGGTATTAAAATCACGTGTTTAAGGCTAACGCACAATAGATTCGCGAAAGTCGTTTGCGAACGAAATGCATGAGATAGAAAAGGATACGAATATATTTCTATCCTTTTCTAACTCATGTTTTACGTTCGCGAACGTCTTTCGCAAAGCTATTCTGCTTAGGCCTTTTCAGAATACAGAGATTAATACCACAATTTCCCGCGGTTGGCGTAAGTGTAATTAGATTGGTGAAAACTTGAGAACCGTGAATACCGAAAACGGGGCCATCTTTTATATACATAGCGATATGTCTCCTTATACTACTTCGTGATTATAACAAAATAAAAACTTTTAATAAAATGTGCAACGAAAATAAACGTGTCTAACGACTATGAAGTCTGAAACGTGAAGAACAAGTACCTGTCGTCTGGCTCGTTCGCCACAGTTCATTAGATTTTGCTCCCCAGAGGGCGCATTCTCATTCGAGGAAGGGCGCGCATATTTAAATTCGTCTTTCTCATATGACAACATGCACACTCAATAATACGCTATTCATTAATTTTGAAAATACAATTAATCTTGGATTAGCCATGTAAAGTCGAGCTTCGGAGTATTGTATAATAAAATAATATAGAACATCTTTAAACATGCTGTAAATAAGAGGCTGTTATTTTTAGTTGCTCCAGTAGGCTTAAAACACCCTCAAGTTGTATTTCAGATTCTTCTCATTCCGATTTTGAGAATCTATTGGCATTCTGAAATTGCGCTATATTGTTTGGCTGCATCCAATGAACTTAAATAAAATAGAATAAACGGCAAAATCTTAAATAAGAAAAGAATAAGTTAAGAAGTACGAGGTTTGCTTTTCGGTTTCGGTTACATTTTAGAATAATTTCAAACAAGTTTAAAGTTTGGCTTCACTTTTCGTCTTCCAGGTCGAGGACTATAAAAAAATGTCAATAGTAATTTTAACATCGTTATACAACATACACTAAATAACTGACCACGTCAATATTGATTTATTAAGGTTCGAGGTTCTTTCTTTGATTTTCTTATAAGTTTAAAATAAAAAGTGCCCTCTTTATATTTTATTCTTTTTATTTATATCAGTTTATGAATTGCCGTGATCGCATAGAAATTTGCCCGTATATATAAAAATACAACCTCCCTGAAGTTGGCGTCGACGCTCAGCGTCGAAAATTATTTTTCATGGGACCAAAAATATCAAATCATTTATAAAAACGTTTAGGGTCCACATAATACGTTAAAAAATATTTCTCAAGGTATTATTTGGATGAAAAATATTATTAAAAAACTAATTTAACATTTTTGGTCCTGTAAAAACAATTTTCGACGCTGAGCGTCGACGCCAACTTCATGGAGTTAAAATACAAATCTTTTATAGATGGACATAAATATTCTATTTTATAAATATTTCATCCAGATAGATATAACTGCATATGAAAAATTCTTTCTTAGTTCTTATATATACTTTTAATCAAAATATTGACTCTCTTATTTCAGAGCAATGTTCCTTTGCTGTGCGCTTGTAATGCAGTAACATAAGTAATGAATTATCTATTGAGTCGTGTTATTTTACTTCAGGTTGAATTACATGAACCAAAGTTTACTTTTTATTTCTGTTTGGATTAATAATTCTGCTCCGCAAAGTCCATGTCTCTAGTGGTCCATGCGCCTAAAATCGATTGAGAGAGACACAGACAGGGCATGAACCTTTATATATATATCTATGGTACTTTCCTCGTAGCTTCAATATTGAAAATTTACTTCACTACACAATTTAATTTCATAATATAAATATACATATATAATATTATATAATTAAATATTCATTTTAACATAAAATTATATTTTATAAATATCATAATTTGATTTTCTTTTTTCACACATTAAATTTCGATGATTCAAAAATATAATGTGAAGCCAAATATACATACATTGAGAAAAAAATTTGTTTGAAATAACAAAATTTTTGGTTGAATCTACTAAATAAATAAATATAGTTAAAAATACTGTTGATTGAATAAACAAAAAGTGTATTTGGCTCAATATAATTCTTTCTTTCTTCATTCGAAAAATTTATTAAAATAAAACGTTTATATAGATTACATAAATATTTGTTTGAATCAAATAAATTTTGTATGAAGTAACCAAAAAATTATGTTAATATTAAAAAAATGGTATATTTGGTACAAACAAAACTTTTCTCTTAATGTTTGTCAATTACAATGTTGAAACAATTAATTCTAAACATTATAGAAATAAAAAAAAAAGTTATGAAAATTTTAGCATAGAAATTTATTATTTTCACAAAAATTTAGTTCAATAAGAAAAATATTTTGTTTTGATAATAAATTACTTAGTTTATGTGAAATTAAATTTTTTTTTATTGGCCTGACAAATTTTTTTTTTCATTATACAAGAAGTAATTTTTCTTTTAATAAAAATCTTTATTTTGAAATGCAAAAGAAAAGATTTTAATTCTTAAATTTTATATACCTACGAAAAACACATTTCTTATAATTTGTGACTTGAAAAAAACAAAAGCGTAAATTTAGGAAATCTTCACTGCTGTTTATTGGAGAGTGAATTTTGCGACAAAGGCTTTTTCATGAAGGGCGGTAAATAATAGGTATGTCCATAACAGACTTTCTCGAGGACCAAAATTCGCAGGGGTTTTGGTATATTCTCCTGCGGGGGAATGCCTTAAACACGCTCTTAATTTTATGGTCAGCCGTAATCGTTTAGCTCTCACAAATTATTATAGCCAAAACTTTGCGGCGGGTGCGAATGTCGCTTGAGTTTGAAAATTATCCCGCGCTCTTTATAGCAGTTAGGTTTATTAGCTGTCGTTTCAAAGTGCGTCTAGAGAGAGAACGTTAAATTTCACAATACTGATATACGTAAATATTATTCTTAAAAATTTTTTTTTTATAAAAACACTTATTCTTTATAATTGTTTCATTTTATAAAATTTTAATTTTAAAATACATTCTTTTTTAACTTAAAATTTAAGACATTCTTTTTCTTAAGGGAAAAAGAATATTTCCGGATCCTGTTCGTAATTACATTTTACATATTGATAAGCAAGTTCACATTCTTCGTCGGCCGTTACTGAAATAAATGTTATCACGTCAGATATAAATAATAAAATTAATTTATTATTATTATTATTATTATTATTATATATGTAAAATTAGTATATTTATTCAATAAATATAATAGTTAATTAAATCAGAAAACAAATGAAAAATAATGAAATCATAAGTAAATTAAATATTCTTATGAGGTAAATAGTTTTTAATATAGAGAAAATTATAACATACTTGATGTGCATTTTTTTGCTGCAGCAATCAATCGATCACTATTTACGGGCATAAGAGATATTTGAGCCAATACAACGCCTTCATCAATTTTACCGTTTTTAATCTGCAAAATAAAATAATCAAAGTATTTTAGATTATATAAGATAAAACTCAGCAATTTATGATAAAACACACTGAACCTTACCATCTTTGACATTTTTGCTATACATCTCATATAACACTTTAAATTTGGATCTTCAGGAAATTGTCCGTTTCTTACATTTACTGCTAATTCTGTTTAATGATAATTAGGAATTATTGAAAAAAATAAAATTATAGTTCTGTGTATTTTATAAATATAAATATATAAGTATAAATTAGGAAAAAATATATATATTTCAATGATAATAAATAAACAGCTTTGACTCCATGTTACTTACGATATTTTTTATTCCAAAGACCCCCAAAATTAGCGATTTCAGATAGCAGATGACAGTGAGTAAAAGTCTTTTATTTTTCAATCTGTACAGGCTTTACTCCCTCTCGTCTGCTATCTAAATAAGCGCCATTTTTGTGTCTGTGGGATAAAAAAAAATGCAAAAACAAAGTTTTAAAATACTTAAAAACAAAACTGAGAAAAACTGATTAATTTTGTTAAATTAATTTATTATAAAATTCTAAACATTGACATCACACCTAACCTCACATTTTCTAAAAGTTTCCAAAACATATTATAATAATTAAGGGGAGGCACCACCTTTATTTTAACCCCTCCCCCCTACAGCACCGAAACTTTCCTGAAAATTTAGTAAATATTTACTTGCAATATTGGGAATATTTAATTGCAAAGTTTAGTGAAAATTGTGTAAAGATTTAAATGTCCCGATTAAATAAATGTTTAGTGTGAAACTTTCCTGAATATTTAAATGAAATTTTTGCCTATAATTATAATTAGGCCCCTTTAAATTTTAATGATCGCACTATATTATATTTTTTAATTACACCATTTGGTTCCTAAAAACATACAACAAAGAAAATTAATTTTTGACCATTTTAGATATTGTATTTTTTAAAAAAAATTAAAAATTTTGAAAATCCATAACACGCTGTTAAAAAAGCTTGTCCAAAAAATTGTTGATGAAATATAATGAAAATTGTGAAAGTAGTTTAATTTTGAAAAAAACCATTCAATATTTTAAGAGTAAAGTTCCTGACAAAAATAAAATTTCGAATCCAACAACAATTACATGCTTTTTGAAAGAAAATGTACAAAATAAAAATGAGATTACAAGTGATATAAAAAAAAGAGTATTAAAATATATTAAATTTTTAATTTTATTTGAACCCAAATTTAATTATTATTTATAATATTTTAAAATGCTTACGTGGATCAACTGGTACTTTAGCTAAACAAGATTTTCGCATTCCTTTTGCCATGTTTTCAACTTGGTCCATTGACATGCCCTAAAACATAATAAACTCTATAAAGATAAATTGTAATTTATGTAAAAAAGAATAAATAAAAATCTTAAAGAAAATTCAAACTAAATCAAAATAAGTATTGAAAGTTCACCCAGAGAAATGTTTTAATTCAAACAAATATAATACATTTCAATTAAATAAACGTATATTTATAACAGAGCCTTATAGCTTTCTTATTTGGCGTAAATAAAAATTTTATTTGTCATAAATAAAAAATTTATTTAAATCAAATAAAATTTATTTCAAACAAATAGAAATATTTATTTGGCTCTGAGACAAATATATCTTTTTTCTGGGTGTAAAACTTAATTTCGCACAATTAAATAGGTATATAGAAAGTACACAAATCTTTAATTATTTAATTGATTTAAAAAAATGTCTTAAAATTAAACCTTCTTGTTGAAATATTTTCCACAAATAAATTATAACATTATAATGATAAAGAAAAATAATTCCAACAATAATTGAGGGTCCCGATCAAAGAACCGGTTATAACTTTTTAAAACTCGAAATCATTGGTCCCGGATTAAAAAAAAAAAATTTTAATTTTAGTTTTCTTTAAGCATTTATTTTTATAAAGAATATATGAAAATACCTAACAGAAAAATGAGGTTCAAATATTTATTATTTTGAATTTACGGGCCAGTGATTTTTAGCCTAAAAAAATTATAACCGGTTCTTTGATCTGGACCCTCAATTATTTATTATAACAACACAATTCGAATATAAGTAAATAAATAAATCTGCTTTAACAAATAAAAAATAACAAATTTTAAAACATTACTTACGCATTCTATACTTTTAAAACCACAGAAACCGATAAATGCGATAAGTACTAATAATTGAGAATTCATGATGACTTATTCTTGATGAATCTTGTTCATGAAAGGCGAATTTGGCATCAGTCTTTGCACTTTTTAGTCTCTATACATATATATATAGAGGATGTGAATTATCAAATCTTGTATATTCTAGTTGTTAAGTACTCATGATCAATTGTTAGTAATTTGACATCGTCAATTAAGCAAAATTACATGTTATATCTATATATTTTTTTGTTTGTTTCTTTCTTAAATTAATTAAAAAATGATTTATTTTCTTCTTTAGTATAATAAATGTGTTTAATTACTTTTTAATGTTAAGAGATCAAAGTATTTTATGTGAAAAAAAAAATTATTTTCAAATAATGCGTATCACTATTTTTTTTTTAATGATGTTTACTTATTGTTAACTAATTCTTGATTACGTAAATTCATTATGTAAGACAATGCTGATTTAATTATGGGTTCTTTTTATATGACATAACTAGACTCAATCAAAAAACAATATCAACTGACAATTTAGTCAATTTACAATTTTTGAACTTTAATTTTCTTTAATTGAATGAACGCAACAGCATTTAAGTTTAGTTTTAGAGAAATGGTTTTGTTCATAAGGTAAGAGAAAGAATATTTTTAGTTATTTTTCAAATAATGATTATATTGATATATCATTTTTTAAATACATTTTTTTGATTTAATTTTTCTGTAAACGAAATTCTTCTTATTTTATTTTTCAACTTGCACGGCAAAGAATGAGTTATAGTTATATGGATGCTAATGAATGTTTGCTGAAAAAATTTGCTACAGCAACTAAAATTTTTGCTAAAGGTGCTAAAAAGTTTGCTGCGACATTTCATAAAACATTAAAATTAGCTATAGGATTCCTCTATTATTGAGAATAATTAATTTTTTATGCAAATAATAGTATAATTTAAAGTAAGGGGTTGGTTGTAACAAATTTAAAAATATTGTAAAGATTATGAATGATTTTTTTATAATTATTATAATTGCTTTAATTTGTGAATTATTAATCATAACAATTAAATATTGAAACTATGATAGGTTGAGCTTTTATTATTTAAAAATAAGTACAATAAAATCATAAAATACATTTTTTGCTAAATATTCTTAAAATATTATAGCGCCAACTACAAGTAGAAAAAAGTTTGCCGTGAGAGCGAATTTTTTGCTGCTACACCAAACTCTGCTCATTGATATATATAAACAGCGAATAAGTTTACTGTGGAGTTTAAATTCTTAATTTTTTGTTTTTTTTATTTCCTTTTTTATAACTTTTTAGCAAATCTAGCAAATATTTTAATTGCTGTGACATATTTTTTCAGCAAACATTTGTTAGCATCTTTAGCTAATTCATTCTTTTCCGTGTGTAATAACAAATTTTTTTTTTTAAAATCATTTTCTATCTTTTGCATTAAAATTTTATAGAAAATTTAAAAATTTCAGCAGTTTCATAAGAAGAAAATATACTAAAATACAACCTGACCTACACACGCATAGAAGATGTTTGCTGTGGCAGCGAACTATTTGCTGACACATAAAATTACGTTTGCTAATATATCACAGAAAAAACCTAGTCTCATTTTTGTTGCAAATCAAAATGAGCCAATGCTAAACGACATAGACAGTGGCGCCACCAACCTGGTTCATTTTTGATGCACATCAAAATGAGCCGCCTATATACACGGCCCATTCTGAGTTCAGTTTTTTTCTGTGTAGGGATTACACTAATATACTTTTTATTTCAAAAATTAATGTAATTTATTTCAAAATGGGGAAAACTCATTTTTTGGACTATTTAGTCGTATGAAACTTACTAGTTTCTGACCAAATAATACTTAAAATTAATATAGACTAAATTAATTTTTGGTGTTGTTTGGTTGGAAACTAGTAAGTTTTATACGACTAAATAGTACAAAAACAGAGTTTTCTCCATTTTGAAAGAAATTATTAATTTTTAAAATAAAAAATCTTTCAGTATAGCAAAAAAATTTGTTGTGGGGCCAAAAAAGGTTGATATAAGAGTTAATTTTTCAAAATTTATACTGATATTGTTTATCACAGCAAACATTTTCGTTGTCATAGCAAATAATTTGGCTGTCGTTATACGAATTTTAATAGATTCAACAACAAATATCAGTTAGCATTTGTAAACAATTTCTTTTTTTCCGTGCAGCGTGAATTTTTAATTAATTGAGAGTAATGTAAATGTGTCATTTCATGAGTTTATTGATCACTTTTCGGAGTAACCTCGTCAAATTAAATGAAACATGTTTTTTATAATATTTATTAATATAAAGGTCCAAAATAATCACTTTTTAAATAAAAACAATTATTTATTTAAAAGATACAACAATAAGTAATAAAAAAATTTACTTTCTTCTGGTTCACCAAATGAATAAATTGGTTTAAGGAAGAACCCCCGACTTTAGAATTCACAGAGAGTTTTTAATGAAAGTTAGCACACTTATAGATATTAGTTTGAAAAAAATGTAGTTAAATTTTTAGAGGTCGAGGTTGACTCTGACAAAAGTTATAAGCAATTTTATTTTTTCACATTTTACATGGTGTCTTATGAGAAAACGCATTTTCATGATCTTTGAAATTTAATTGTGACATATATAACAGAGAGATATTAATAAAACTTTTTACAGTTAAAGTTAAACAACCAATGATTAGATAATTTAAAAAAAAATGATCATACCTTACCTGTGAGACTCAAAATTAATTATTCTTTATAAAAAAAACACCCTTTTTTATTAATCAGCAGTTACTAAGCACAACGCTTGGCAACGTTGCTTCTTAAAGGTTAGGGTAAGCAAGAAGCGCGAAATTTGAAATTTCGAAAGTAACATAGATCCTATCTAATACTACATATCATATTTTTAATAACAATTTTTGTCAAAAATAATTTAATTACATTTCTTATTTATAAATTTAATATAATAATACAAGTACAATAGAATTTTCAATGGAAATTTTTGAGAAAAAGTTTACTTTTATCAATAACAATTATTTTAATAATAAAATCATTAAAAATTTTTAAAGCATGTCTAAAATTAATTAGTAATTAATTAGTAATTTTATTATACATTAATTACTAATTAAACATATTAAATAAATTTGCAAATAATAAATTTAAAAAATTTCATTTAACAAAATTTAAAAAATGTTAACAAGAACCGCAAAATTTATTGATGTCTTAAAAAAATGAACTGTTAGGTGAAATAAGAAAAAAAACAATTTGGTGTTTTCACAGAATTTTCTGCTAATAAATTTAATTCCGACATAATTAAAACATTTGCAGTCGACACGAAGTTAAACGGGGGAGAAACAAATACGGTGTTGCCAAGCGTTGCATTAGCACTACGTGATTCAAATAAAAACTTAAATGGACATTGTTTTGACTCGCAATGCAGAAGGGGTACCTCCTTAAAGATCAAAATTTTCCTTATTTTTCAAGCTTTAATACCGCACAAAAAAAATTAAGCATTTCGAAATAGTTAACTTGCGATTTTTGAAACAATTTATGTTTTCTTTTTTGTATTTTATTTACTCTTCCTGTACCATCAGATGAAATATTTATTATAGTGAAGTGATAAGATTAAAATTAAAAGTTAAATGTTAAAATCAAGAAGTTCAAAATCCCTATAAAAATTACGTGTTACTTCTTACCACTGTTACAACAAACCCTATAAATGTACGGTAAAATTCATTATGTATCTACTCTACTTGTACAAGAGCTCTATGCATAAACATCACCTGAGGGTCAGACGGACGACCACAACTTGCTAGTTTCATCTCAGCTACCAGTTCCTATACATGTTATCAAGCTTTATTGTCTTTCAGACACCTTGTAGTTGTATCTTACAAAGTTCTTAATATTTGCATATATCCTTCACTTTGAATAACTTGTGAAAATATAATACTTTTACATGAAATTTAACAGCAAGTGAGTCGATAAACTTCATTCTTAAAATATTGAATGGATTGATTTAAATTTTTGTGGAGATGTCTAAAAATATGATTAATAATATCTCTTGTGTGCAAAAATTGTAATATTTTGTTGAATTTATTATTACATACATAATATACTTTTATAAAATTTTAGAAAATGTGAGGTTTCTTGTGACGTCACTATAAAGTGTATTATAATAATTAATTCAACAAAATATCACAATTTTCGCACATAAGAGCAATTCCTAATCATATTTTAAACATGTTTATAAAAATTCAATAGTTTTTCTTGGAAATGTTAAATAAAAAGTATTGAAAAATTCTTTATCAATTTTGTTTCATTTAATAAAATTAAATATCTTAATATATCAATATTTATTATTATTAATTAGTTTCTGGTGTTTTTTTCTTAATATGTACATTTAATTTTTTAAAGCTTTGTTTTACTTTGTGTTTAGTATTTTCTTTTATATATTACCAAAAATTTTTATAATTTAAATAATAATTTTCATATTTTAACATATTTTTTGCTTAATTGAAATAGAGTATATTTTTAAATTAAATATATTATGAAAACAAAGTAAAAGATATTTTTTATTTATTAATATTAAGCTTATTGTTTGAGTTGAACCAAAGAAAATCATCTAAAGTTATTTTTGTATTTAAATTAATTTTCTCTGTGTGGGCCTGGCGGATGTCCGATTACTCTGTGTGTACAATGCATTAATAGATGGGCAAATTTACATTCATCCTCTTCTTTGCTTTTCACTGAAAATTAAAAAAAAGAAGATAATTTTCAATATAATTATAGTAATCATAAACAGAAAATTTTTACAGTAAATTGTCTTAAGACCAGATCCAAGTGAGGCAGCGCCATCTACATTGAAACTAAAATTTTGGAAAATTTTTAACATCCTTTTCTTGAAAACAAGAAGGTAAAATGCTTTTTCCTTTATGGATAATTGATTATTGGCAAGATATACACCAGCTAAAACTTTTTTTGAGTTAAAATAATAAAAAAAATTTTATGTGAATAAATTAAATATGAGCACTTTTTTCACAAAAACTGTAACAGTACTTTCTCAGAAATTACAATCAAAAATGCAATTTCTATTTGGAAAATTAATAAACGCTAAAAAATACACGACCTAAGATTTACCAATCACGAAAATAACAAAAAAAAGTATTTTAACGTAACATATTTTACTCATTATGACAGCCGTTTGGCAGGTTATATATATGTCACCAGACGTTTCGCAGTTTTGCCGAAAGGAGGAGATTGGCGCTGTTGCTAACCACCTGAAATACATAATCTACCAAAGGACTGTCACAATCAGTAAAGCAGTATCAATATGTTAAATATTTAATAAAATTTTTTTTTGTTATTTTCGTGATTGGTAAATCTTAGGTCGTGTATTTTTTAGCGTTTATTAATTTTCCAAATGGAAATTGCATTTTTGATTGTAATTTCTGAGAAAGTACTGTTACAGTGTTTGTGAAAAAAGTGCTCATATTTAATTTATTGACATGAAATTTTTTTTATTATTTTAATTCAAAAAAAGTTTTAGCTGGTGTATATCTTGCCAATAATCAATTATCCATAAAGGAAAAAGCATTTTACCATCGTGTTTTTAAGAAAAGGCTGTTGAAAATTTTCCAAAATTTTAGTATCAATGTAGATGGCGCTGCCTCACTTGGACCTGGCCTTAAGGACGTTGGAGAATTTATTTTGTTTCTGTTCGTTTCCCCTAGAACTTAAAATATTCCAAAGAGACCTTTTTATCAAATTATGAACGTTTACTTTTGTTCATTTTATAATATTCCGAAATGAAGGCATAATATTTGTCCTAAAAGTTGTATATTTTAATAAAATTTAAAGGGCCAATTACTAACAGAAGCAGCGTTTATGACGGTCAATTTCGTTACTATTTAATTATTTTTCACAATTTTGACAATTCATCAGTTGGTCGGTCGGTAATTTATGTGTAAATCGCGGTAGTAGGTACCGAAAGTGACTGTTGCTGGCGCCGCTACAACGAAAGCAGTTAGTAATAGGCCCTTTAAATTTTGTTAGAATATACAACTTTTAAGCCAAATAATTACTCCTTCATTTCAGAATATTTTAAAATGAACAAAAGAAAAAGTAAACGTTCATAATTTGATAATGTGCTCTTGCCCTCTCATTTTTAACAAAACCGTGAGTATTTTCTGCATAAAATGATTTCTTATGTACTTATAAAACTGATTTTTTCGCGCTCTCAAAAACCATTTCAATAAATAACTAAAATTTATTATAAATATCTTTTTTAACACTAAAAAATCACATTTTTTTACTTTCATTAACAAAACTTTATTATAATTATTCAGTAAATAGTAGTAAATCCTTTTTTGGTGAAGAAATACTATTATTTTTCCTTGCAGGGCCGTAGTAAAAGGTCTCATTGAAATATTTTCAGTTTTAGGGGAAACGAACAGAAACAATATCAATTCTCCAACGTCCTTAAGGGGAGGTTCTAGTCCAAATCGACAAACAAATTTTTTTTTATTGATTTATTTTCATTCTTAGGGTTTTAAAAATGTGTATGCCACATATGTATTCAGCCACACCGGGCTTTCTTCAGGGAGGGCTGGAGCCGCCATTTTTAATAATTTTTACTTAAAAAAATTCTGTAAAATTTTTCAAATATAAATACCATAAAACGTTTTTTCAAAAAATAATTGAGTTCGCTCAAAAAAAAATTCCTAAAATTACGTTAATTTTCGGAACTTTGGACTAGAACCTCCTCTTAAATTTAGTACACATTCAAAGTTTTAGAAAATCAATAATATTTTGCTTTTAACAGATTGTTAGGCACACAATATTTTTTTTCGACATAATACCAGTTCAATTACATTCAGTATTTTACGAGAATAGTGGTTGAAAAAATTAACATTGTGGACCTAACCATCACATGTTAAGTAGTTGTAAATTAAAATAACATTTTTTACTGCTATTTAATTTTTTTTTATACGAAAATCTGTATTCGATTATAAAATAAACGGCAACCATTTTATTTTTAATGTCAAATTAGATTAAAATATACTGCAATAAGATTATAATAAGATCAAGAGAATTACCTTGTTCATAACAATCTTGTAATGATTTCTTCATATCATCAGTGAGATCTTTAAATTGTTGTATTTTTTCGTACCACTTATCCATATTAATTTCTTTGTTGTCTTGAAGCTGTAGGGAAAATTAAATAAAAAATATATTTTGACGATGGTGCAATTTGTTAATAGTAAAGAATATAATTAAAAATAACTTTTTCTCTTACTCGTTTCAAAAATATTAATTATTGAGACATTAGACTAAAAAATTGACAGTAACTTACGATGCCATCTTTCTTCATCAAACAAGCTGGTATACAACGCATTTTTTCGTTATCAAAATCGCGCTTCTTATGAAGCTCTCTTTCTTCCTCTAAAAGTAGATGCAAAAATATTTAATTTAGAAAAAAGTTGAAAAAAAATTGAATTAATTAATTAGTCACTTGTTTCAAACTGAGAAAAAATTTACTTATTTTTAAAATTAAAAATTTGTGACGAAAACCTCTTTTAAGAAAAAAATCCCCAAAGAAATTTTAGAGCGAAATGAATAATTAATGAATGAATAAACAATACTATATTATGAATTATTTCAACAAAAAAAGTTTTGTTACCTATTGTTAATCCAAGTTCTGTACGGCATTCATCCATATTTTTCTTCATTTCCTCTGTTAGAGGAGGTGGTTGTGGAATACAATTTACCTAATGTTAAAACATTTTTTTAATTTAATTTAATTAATATATCGCCTATTAGGTAATTTATTAATAATTTAATTTATTTAATGAATATAACAATAATATGAAACAGTTTTATTTATTGAGTGAGAGGGAATATAAGTAACAAATTTTATACTTTGTTATATATATTTCTAACAATTAAATTTAATGTCCGGAATTATTCTTCTAATTTAATTATATTTTTAATGAAATATTTAACAACAAAAAGTATATGAATATTACATTGAACAATATTTGAATAAAAATAAAAAATTTTATTTATTCAAATATAAAACATTTATATAAGTAAAATATTTCTTACCACTGAAATGAACATAACTGCAGCCAAGATTAGAGAATACATCATATTTGCTTTGTAAGTTATGAACGTGTATTTCAAAACCGGAAAGAAGACTATTCACACTCTGACTGACAATTGTTGGATGTTCTCCTTTTATATGTCTAACCATCATAGTTAAAATTAACAAATTTATATATACTTCTTTTTAAACATTGGTACTAAAGATAGTTTAATTACACCACTACAGGATGTGTGCTTCCGATTTAATTGTCGCATATCTCATTTTATGTAACATCAAAATTATTAAAAATTTATCACCACTAAATAATATGTTTCGAAACCTTGAAATTATATAAAAAAACACATATACAAATAAAGCCAAAGAAAAAAAGTAAATTGTAAAAAAGTTTCTTATTTAGATTTATTTTGATATAATGAATTTTAATAATATATATATATATAAATTTCTTATGATTTAAAAATTTGTTATAATAAAATTTATTTTCTAAAATGACAGTTTTTTAATAATTTAAGTAATTTAATATTTAATTTCTCAATTTTTCCCTACGTTTCCCTGTACACAATCGTCATAAGCATTCGCCAAATCGCATTTATCTTCAATATTTTTAACTGAAAATTAATTAAATTTTACTGTTTTATAGAATAATGTTATATTATATTTAATAAAAATAAATTTATTCATTAACTTTAAAATTTATATAATAGTAAAAATAAGTTTTATTAATTTTATAAAATACTTTTCTCAAACTGCATTACCTTTATCAATACAAATTGAGATTGCTTTCATGATTTCATCAGCTTTCTCAGGATATAATGTATGTTCAATTTTTGATATTGTTTCTATGTGAAACTTATTGTTCTCGTCCAACTAAAATATAAATGATTTTTTTTATACAACATTTATTGAAATAGCTAAATAATTTTCTCAAACATTGAAACATTATTTCCCTGATGGAACAATTCAGTTCTATATAAAGGCAAAAAGCTTATTTTTAAGTAGATAAAGATATTTTGTCAAGACTATATTTATTTTTGAAAAAAAAATTCTTAACAAGCAAAGTATCTTTTTAAATAAATTTTTTTTTCGTCTTTTAATGGCTACACTCATTTTTAAAGCATTTTCTCAATTTATTTATGTGCGAATCTACCTCCTGATCTTATGTAGCTATTGTAGTGAATATTTTACATGTTATACAGCTAAATCTTTTTTTTGCATCTTTTTTGAAAATAAATCTTTTCATTTCTTACCTCATTAGATTTTTTCATAAAACATACAGAATAACAGCGCAATCTTTCTTTTGCAAAATCGCGATCTGCCCTCATTTTTTTTCCTTCTTCTGTGAAATATTAAAATTTTTTTATTTTCAATAAAATTAGAAAAAATAATAAAATTTTAAATTCGATATTAATTTTTTTTTTACTTCATAAAATTTATTTTTATGAAATATTGCTAGCAATATTTTAATTGTTAAAACAAAAAAATTTGATTATTACCCTTTGTTATATTCATTTCTTTATAACATTCATTTGCGTATTTTATCATTTTTTCTCTAAGTTGCTTGATCTCATCTTCACACTTTATAAATGACTGTTAATAAAAAAAAAAACTAACAGATTAAAAACGTACAATTGAAAAACAATTAAATTACAATGAAAATAGAGAATTAACTTATATATTTACCATTAATGCGAAAAGCACTACAATTATAAAAAAAGTAGATTTCATTATTCTCGTAAAATAATATTTTTAAGTGTATTCAAGACTGAAGTAATTTTACAACTGAGAATTTTATTTATTTCATCTTTTATTTGTACCTACTCAAACACTTACGTAATTTTCAATATAGTTTTATTTTTTTTTTTATTTGTTATTTTACCGTTAATTTTTATAGCTGACATGTCTATATGAATTTTTTACACAATTGCAAAAAAAAAACCCAAGAATTAAACGACCTTGAAAAGATATATTTATGTTATTTATGCCTTTATTCTCAAAGAATCATAATTATGTAACAATATTTTAAAATAGTATTGAAACCAAATATAATAGAATGATCGCAAAATCGAGAAAAAATATTAATATTGAAAAAAAATATTTTTTAAAAATATAAATTCAACATTTAGAAAAAAACAATTTTTGGAAATTGAAAAAGAGTCCATTTTTAATTTTTAGTTGAATTTTAATTATGTAAATTTTTTTTTAAGAATTATATATATTTATTGATTTTCATCATCGTTTTCTTCAGTATCCTTTTTATCACTCTTATATGCCTTTCGAACACATGAATTCCAAACTCCAACAAATTCACATTGATTTTTTACATCTTTTACTGAAATTTTTTATTTTTTATTAGTTATATTGCTCTAAGATTTTTTTTAATATCAATAATGTATCACAATAAAGTATAAAAAAAAGTTTACAAAAAAAATATTAATACACATACTTTTAGAGGCACATTCCATTCTTAATTGTATTAATCTCTCAAGTTTATCAGGATCAGTCACTCTTTTTTGAAGTGCAGCTTTCAAATTTTCTTCATTCACATTAAAATTGTCATCAATCTATAATGTATATTTTTGTTATACTTAATTAATATTTTATTTATTTTAAATTTTTAGGTAATTTTTCCAAAATAGTTCCTTCCCAAGCAAAAATTTCTGTCAAACGCCGATATTGACAACAGGCGCAATCATGCACCAATACTGGCTGGCCGACAGTTGACTTACCAGTCAATACTGGTTCAGTACTGATATGGATTAAATTCTGTACTGTGCCAATACTGCAAGCCAATACCGGCATGTCAGTATTTTCCAATACTGTGCCAGTATTATTGAGACAGTAACGGCAAACCAGTACTCGGTCAGTATTAATTCAATACCGAATGCCAGTATTCAGAAAAATTATGAAAATTGCGACCTCCATGAAGTTGGCGTTGACGCTCAGCGCCGAAAATTATTTTTCACAGGACCAAAAATGTCAAATTATTTCTTATTTTAAAGATTTTCGGTCCAAATATGTAATGCCTTAGAAAATACTTTTTAAGGTATTATGTGAACCCAAAACTTTTTTAAAAATGCTTTGTTATTTTTGGTCCCGTGAAAAATAATATTCGACGTTGAGCGTCGACGCGCCAACTTCATAGACGTGAAAATTGTGTATTTTTGTTGGTTAGAAATTAAATTTACATACATATTTTTTAAAAATTATTTTAATACTTCTTTTCGATTACTGCAATGCGTTCGTTAACGGAATTATGAAATTTAAATTTAATATTAAAACTTTTTAATAAAAGAAATACATAATTAATGAAGTTCTCAAATTATTTTTCTTACATTGAAAAAATATATTTCAATCAAATAAACTCTATTTTAACCAATAATTTCATTCAATTTCGGTAATTTAAACAAATACAAATAAATATATATTTTATAATATTTGAAGAAATTATTTGAATAATAAAATAAAGAGTAAAATGTTAATATAAAAAAATAACAATTTAAAAGTTATTATAATAATTTATTATTATTAATAGTTAATGCTATGAGTCGGTTCTTCGATCCAGTTGCTTAATTAATGTAAAAAGCAAAAAGAACCCTGAATTTTGAATATCTACCAGTGCTGGCTTAGTACTGGTTACTATAATTTTGCCCGTACTGACAAAATACAGAATTACTGCTAAAATCCAGTATTGAACCAGTACTGAACGCCAGTACTAAGCCATTACTAATGACCAGTACTGATAAACGTTATCATCCCAAACATATGCCAGTATTGGTTCAATATTGGCAGTCAGTACTTTGCCAGTAATTGCCAGTACTGGCGCAACATTGCGGCGGTTGTAAATTTTTGCTTGCATTTTTTCCGTGAATTGGAAAAAAAAATTATAATTATTATTGGTGAAAAATTATATATGAAACAAATAAAATATAGGTACAATTTTTTGGAGGATTTAAAAAAAAAAAATTATAAACTAATATGAAATATGATTGGACATTTTTATAATGTATAATTATTTTACAAATTTTGAGGACATGTAAAAGTAGCATTCTGGTATAGAATTAATTATATGTTTATTTATATTGATTTAATTTTTTTTACTTACTATATTTTTATTCTTGTACGCTATTACTTGACGACAATAAAGAGACCATTGTTTTTGTTTTAATTCTTGTAACTTTTCTAAAATAATTAATAGTAAATTCTAATTTCACAACTAGATGCCAATAAATGATTCTTAAGTATTTTTAGTGAAATTGTGAAAAAGTTGTAATTTCTCTGAATAAATCAGTTTATTGACAATAATATTATATTTTTATTTTCTAATAAATATAATAATAATAATAAAAGATGTTGAATTTTTTGTCTATTAGGCTAAACAGCAATTCAACATCTTTTATTCAATTATATGGATTTTTAAATTCTTTTATTATTATTATTATTATTCTTACCTTCTGGAATCAAAAGATCAGAAGCACATTGTGAAACATTAACATCACATTTAATATTATTCTAAAAAAAAATGAAGAGAATAATTTTTTAAATTATAAACAAATATTTGTTTGTCTTACAATAACAAATTAATAATTTTTCCTTTTTATATAAAACAATTATAACTTTTTACTTAAGCAAGAACAGTTTTATTTTTATAAATTATATTATTTTTTTAAAAGATATTTTTCTTTTGTGCAGTAAAAATTAGAGACTTACGATTTGCAAAAGAACAATTCCAACTAAAAATACTACACTCTTCATACTTCTCTCGTTCAGGTTTATTTTTTTTGTTTTTACTTCTATTAGAAATAAATAAAGTTTGCTTTTGTATTTATACTCCTCTTTAAAAAAACATATACAAATACAATTTACTCTATATAATTTAAAAAAAAATTTTTTCTTTTAAAAATCAGGAAGTTTATAATTTATATAATTTACACTAATTTTCTTTAACGTAATATGCGTTCATATGAAAAAAAAAAAAAAAAAACAAAATTCAATTATCAGAAAAAAAGTTTTAAATTAGATACCTACTTTAAAATTTCGAATATTTTAAGGATATAAATATACAGTTTTTTATATTTTCATTATTTATTTTTAAATATTTGAATTATATCAACAAATAGATAAGGAACAAAATTGTGTATTATAAATTTTTTTCAAGTTCAAAAATTCCTTGAAAAAAGTTTTCCTTTCAATTATTTATATGAAAAGTTATTATGCTTTCATAAATACAGCATCAACACATTTTCCATATTCTTGTGCCATATCGCATTTGTCTGTCTTCTGTTGAGCTGTAACAATGATTGAATCATTTATCTTTAAATTTAAAAAGATTTAAAATTTAATTTAATTTTTTTTTTAAGGAATATTATTTAACGAAACTCGAATATTTAATGTGATTAATTAATACCTTCTGTTACACATTTTGCATGAGTACTGTCAATATCAGCTTCAGATATAGTAGGGTTATAGCTAACCATTAATTCCTTAATTTTTTCAATTTTTATTTCTCCATCTTTCATCTAAAAATTTGCAAAGCAATGTTTCGTTAGTTAAACTTTCTATAATGAAAGAAAACTATTTTTTTTGTTCAAATAATCAGTTATTTGACTATTATTAAAAAAAAAAATTTATTTGTATCAAATAATTACAAGGAAACAAATAAAATAGCTGCAGATGCTAATAAATATTTGCTGAAAAAATTTGCTATAACAACTAAAATGTTTATTACAGCTACTAAAAATTTAGCTGTGATGTGTTAAAAAGAAAACAAAAAAATCGAGAATTTAAACCCCACGGCAAACTAATTCGCTGTCCCTATATTAACAATCAAATGACAGCAAAAAATTCGTTGCTACAACAAACTTTTTCTATGAGTTTATTATTTTTGCCAATTAAAAGTTATTTTTTTCAAATACAGAAATTATTGATTCGATTACAGTTTATTTGATTTAAATAAAAATTATTTAGTTTGAATAAAAATTATAAGTTGCAAATAAATATTTGATAATAGCTGACTAACCTATTATTTCAACCAAGTAAATTTTTTTTTTAGTGTATAAATTCATTTTCGTTTCTTTTCTGTAAATTTTTGAAAGAAAATAATATCTAGGTGAAAATTTCCCAACTGGGACACCTAAAACTGACTTTTCAAATTTAAAATATTTATTTTAATAATCTATTGCAGGAAGCCGAATTAAAAACATTCCTGAAATGCGTTTTTAAAAAAATTAATTTTTTAATTATTTATTAACAATTGAATATTTTGTTACCTTTCTAGTAAATTTGCAATTAGGGGAGACCGGGGTTACTTGGCGCACTTTTTACTCTTTGTTGTGTAACTCACTCATTTTTGCTTTTTTTAAAAAGTTAATGTATAGAAAACTTGTAATATATCAGCTTTAATTAAAAAAAAAAGAAAGTTGAAATATATTTAATACTTTTATTTTTATACCACTTTATTTGAAGCTGTGCTAAGCGCGCCAAGAAACCCCGGCCCGGGGTTGCGTGGCACATGAGTGAAATTAAAATTAATAAGGTTATTAAAGTTTAAATAATATAAGACTTAACAAAATAAGTCGTGCACTGTAATTTTACAATAAAATTTTTTTTAAATTTAAAAATTAGAAAATTTCATTTAGATTAAATAAAATTTTATATAAATGAAATCGTAAAATTACCAGAAAATATATTTTTTTTTGATAATAACTCTGTGAATATTTAAAAACCATTATTCGGTTAAATTTTTTGAATCGGATTGTTATTGGTGGTTATTAATGTGTAAATTTCATATAATCAACTTGATTTTATTAATATTTAACGAAATTTTCAGATAACCGCGCCACCTAACCCCGAATGTACTTTTGAAATATTTATTAATTTTTTATAAAAACTGTTAATATAAATCTAAAATTTTTTTTTGTTTCTTAATAACAAATGTATAGAGCTCAAAACTTAATACTTGAGCTCTTCTAAAATGAATTTTTTAAAGAGATATCACAAAAAAAGGAAGAGGTTAAAAAATTACTTTGGAGTGCCAAAATCAGTTATTTTAATCTATACTCCACAATAATTCGTGAATATTATTAAAATTTTGTATAAACTTACAGTTCATCAAGTACTTTAAGCAGAATAAAGAGAAAAATTAATGTAACTTAAGAGCATTTGAACCTTCGTGACGTCACAAATCATGGCGCATGACACGCAAACTTCTCAGGTATGTGAAAAGCACAATTTTGAATATTTTTTAAAAAAACCTTTTGGAAAATGTTCAGAATAACATAGACTCTGTCTGTTATGTGCGGAAAATTCGAAATTTTGCGTTTAAAACGTTTTTTAAACAATGTTAAGGTCACAAATCATGGCGCATGACACGCAAACTTCTCAGGTATGTGAAAAGCACAATTTTGAATATTTTTTAAAAAAACCTTTTGGAAAATGTTCAGAGAAACATAGACTATGTCTGTTATGTGCGAAAAATTCAAAATTTTGCGTATAAAACGTTTTTTAAACAATGTTTAAGTTGGTTGTCACAAGTAAGGAAAAAAACACGAATTGCTTATATGTAGGCATTGTTTAAAAAACGTTTTAAACGCAAAATTTTGAATTTTTCGCACATAACAGACATAGTCTATGTTTCTCTAAACATTTTCCAAAAGGTTTTTTTAAAAAATATTCAAAATTGTGTTTTTCACATACCTGAGAAGTTTGCGTGTCATGCGCCATGATTTGTGATGTCACGAAGGTTCAAATGCTCTTAATACTTTTGAATAAACTCAAGTGCGCCCAGCAATCCCTGCGCCAAACAGCCCCGGTCTCCCCTACTCTGTTGCTTGTTAATGAAATTTAATAAAATTTGGTGAGCATATAGAAAAATTATGTCTCTTTGAAATGCAATAGAAATTTCAATTAACCTTTATTGTTTATGCAAAAAAATTGTTTATTTAATAAACAAATGAGTATTTAAACTATTTCTCATATGTTTAAGAAAAAATTTCAAAAACGACATAAATCTACACTTTCTCAACTTTAATTTAAAGAAAAAAATTCTTAGTACCTTTAAAAATGAGTGATTCTCTGTTATCGAATTATTTATTTATTTATTTATTTATTGATACAAACGGGCAATAACAACTTTGCCCAATCGTACAAAGTACTAATTAACATAAAATGTAATAACAATAATTAATTGGCCGCATTAATATTATTGTCGTCGCTAAATACTAGATTGCGTAATTCTTTAGAAAATACATTGAACAAAACTCCGAAAAAATTTAAATCATTTTTATATTGATTTGCCTCTCGAATAAGTCTATGAATTACCGAGTTACTCAGATAATTAGTTCTGGCAAATGGCAATTTAAATAAAGGAACATTTCTTAATAATCGTTTAGGTACAAAAAGTCCAAAAAGACTCAAAAGATCTGCACAATTAAATAAACCGTTTATAATTTTAAAAACAAAAAGAAGGTCGCTAAATAAAAATTGTTGGGACAGAGATGGGATATTAAATAATAACTTGAGGTCGGCATAATCATGACTATATAAGTCGTGATATACTAATTTATACTAATATAATTTATAGTAATTCTAATTTGGCTAAATAAAAATTTGGTTTAGCGAAAATTTAATAAAATAAGAATTTGGTTAAATAACAGTTAGGCTTTAATAACAATTTTATTAAAAAAAATTCGGTTAAATAAAAATTCTTTTAAATAAAAAATCGGTTAAATAAAAATTCTGATATTGAAAAATTTGGTTCTACGTTAAATTAATTTTCTAAAATTCAAACTTAGTATAAATTAGTATAATTCGATAATAGCAGAGAATAGGCTTCGACGCGTAGTAGCGCACGGCAGTGGTGACTGTTCCAGCGCTTGCACGTCGCTTTTCAAATTCGCGTAATTCACTCATTTTTTAAAGGTACTAAGAATTTTTTTCTTTAAATTAAAGTTGAGAAAGTGTAGATTTATGTCGTTTTTGAAATTTTTTCTTAAACATATGAGAAATAGTTTAAATATTCATTTGTTTATTAAATAAACAATTTTTTTGCATAAACAATAAAGGTTAATTGAAATTTCTATTGCATTTCAAAGAGACATAATTTTTCTATATGCTCACCAAATTTTATTAAATTTCATTAACATGCAACGGAGTAATTGCAAATTTAGTATTTTAAATTTGTAAAGTCAGTTTTAGGTGTCTCAGTTGGGAAATTTTCACCCATCTACTCTATAAATACAGTTAACTAACATAGAAATTAAAAATATTGAAAAATATTAAATTTTGGGTTATAATATATAAATAACTTACTATGCCACTATCTGTCATTAAACATTCTCTCAGACAACGGTTTTTAGAGTTTGTACTATAATCATTATTTTTTAAAGCCGTCATGTATTCCTCTGTAAAATATTTTATTTTATAATTTCTAGACAAAACATTTTTTTTCAAATTAATTAATTAAAAGTATTTTTTAACCCTTCGAGGTCAACGATTAGGAATCATTTTTTACTTAACACGGAAAATTGTAAAATTGTTTACCTAAAAAAATATTATTTTATAATTTGTTGATTAATAAAAATTACAATAAATATTTATTAGACAAAAAATTATAGAATTTTTCATTTTAAAAAATTATTTATTTAAAAATCGTTTACATCATAAACGTTGCGTACTTTAAATTCGTAAAATATCAAAAGTTAAAAATATTGATGGGTTGCAACCACCCAGTGTGACCATGAGGGGTTAAATTTGGAAGTAGAAAATAATATTGAAGATAATATTAATTTTTATTAAAATTAAACGAATTATATAGGTAATATAGATTTTTATTTCATTGTATAATCTTTAAGGCGATAAATTAATTAATTAAATTTTATAGAAATTAATCATTACATGTTGAAAAAAATCGAAATAATTTAAAATAATTCTTACCTTTTGAGATGTCAAATTTATTCAAACAATTTTCTAAAACAATTTTTAAGGCCTCAGGGTAATCATTCATTTGACAATTTCCTCCTGCCTATTTGTTTTGTAATTTTAAATAATAAAAAAACAATTATTTATATTAATTCATTAAGTTACTTATAACATCAATATTAACATTTTATTATTATATTGAAAAAAAAATTCAACAGTTGCTGAGAAACAACTAAAAATATTACTTAAAAATGCAAAAAAAATGTTCATTTTTCTCAAATAAAATAGTTTTTTCAAAATAATATTCACAATTCACATACAAAAATTAATTAATTACATTACATTTTATATTTAATTTTTTAGTTCACTTATTCTTGTTAAAATTTTTACTAATTCAGATTTAGAGAGTGAGTCACAAAAATCTACTAGTCAATAATTATTATAAATTAATGAATCACTGTGGCTTACATAAATCTTTAAAACTATATTGAATTTAATTGTTGAATTAAAAAAATAAACAAATTAAAATTAATAACAATTTACCACTGCAAGAAGCAATACACCAAGGAAAAATGCAATATTTTTCATTTTAATAAAATTTTATATGTATTTAAGATTTGCAGACACAATACTGTTTTTTAAAACTGACAAGTTTTCCAAAGCTCCTGTCATATTTATATCAAGCTGTATAGATAAATACATATTCATTAGGTCAGACAATTCAAGGTGTCAGATTGAAATACATTCAAAAATACACGAGAGTGAGATAATGCGATAATCTAGAATTTTTACATAAGAACATTTAATTACCTATCAAAATTGCCGTATATGAATCGTTTTACTCTATTGTTAAGATCTTTTTATTACACCATGGTTTATGAAGTTTCTCAGAAAACAGGAATAATTAAAAATTTTTAAATGAGCTTTAATTGGAGTAATAATTCCAATGTTATAGTATAGTATAGTATAGTTGTATTTTTGAAGATGCAAATCTTTTCATAATATCGGATCTACTTTTGTGTTTATTCATGCAGAAACAAGGAAATGTGAGAAAAAAAACTGTATACTTGAAAGTAAGTTAATTTTTATGAAAAATAAAACAATTATTTATTGTTATAGTTATTTTTTTAAAATTTATTATTTTAAAAGTTTTCATTTTGCAATCGGTTTGAAAAAAAAACTTAATTTACAATTATTATCTATATACCTATTTTATTATTTAATTTTTTTTAGTCTTTATATTTTTTTTAATTATTATTATAGGGTCATTAAAAATTTTTATTTAAAAATGTTAAAACAGAATTTTCAAAAACCACTGGAAATCTACTTACTTTGAAATAATAAGAATTAAAAATTTTGTTTAACTAATCTTAAATAATAATTTTTTAAAATTAAAGTTACACTTTTGAATTAGGTTGCATTATATTAGTTGTTACTCATTGGGGTTTTTGGGTTAACTAGTTATGAATTTAATTTCAGATTCGTAATCAACGATCCTTAAACTCTCCTAGTAAAGAGTTTTAAGTAAATCTAATAATTATTTTTAAAAAATATCAGCCCTTTTAGATCCGCCATTTTGAATTTGGAAAATTTGATGACAGATTCGTAATCAGCGAATTCGTAAATCACCGAGTAACAAGATTTAAGCGAATCCGATTAATTTTCAAAAACTTCTTATTCTTATTTCATGAGTTCAAAAGCCCCCAAGTAACAAGTTTGGAATTTCAATTATAAAAAAATAGTTTCAGTTGGAAAGAAAAAATTATTTATTTTAAATAAATAAATTATTGATTCAAATAAAAATTATTCGGTCCAAATAAATATTTATTTGATAATAGACTAGTAACCGATTATTTGAACCAAATGAATTTTATTTTTTGTGTTTAAAGTTTAAAAGCAAATTGTTCCATTTAAATTAAGAATATTCTTTTTTGTAAACTATAATAAAAAGTATTTTTTCTAAATTATAAAAATAAAAATTGTTCAGTATTTTTTATTTATGTATTATATTTCATATATTAAATAATTACATCTTAATCATTTCAATCAATCGAAAATGCAATCTCTCACTTCATTAAATAATTCGCAATCTTCTTCAACGTATGGAACTGAAACATTAAATTATTAATTTTTATTATTATTATTATTATTATTATTAGCAATGTGTTTTTAAATATTATAAATAATGTTTACTTTTTTGGACGCAGCTCTCGATTATTTCTTCTAACTCATCAATATCACTTGCATTAAAATAACTTTCATCCTCGCTTTCATCTGAATCATATAAAATATCGATGAAATATTTTAAAAATTCTTTATCATTAATTTTTCCATTTTGTATCTGAAACAAATTTATGGTATAAATAGAACATAATTATGTAACTTTCAAATAATTGAAAATATTTTTTATTTTTCCTTACTATGCCAACTTTTTTAGCAACACAAGAATTAAAACATGTAAGATCCGTTTCACTTGAATCAAATTCGTCAACTGAAAATTATTTTTGAAAAAATTGTTTTAAAATTCAACAGACAATTTGTTAATTACTATTAAACATATAAAAATTTCATAATTCAATATTTAAAAAGCAGAATATTAACAATAAATGAATGTTTAAAAAAACAATAGGTATAACAATAAAATATTAATTTTGATTTTATTCACCTGAAATATTGAATTCCCTTAGACAACCATCATAAGCTTGTTCTAACTCATCAGACAATGTTAATGTTTGTTTAAACTATTAAAAAATAAATAAAGCAATCACTTTACAATTTTTGCTAAATCGAATGAATTTCATTAATGAAATTTGTAAAAACTCACCAATGCTGAATAAAATACAGTTAAAAAGAGCAAAATTACTATCATTTTTTTTTTTTTTTTTTGATACTTTTCTTTACTTGTAATTCTGAGTGATATATTTTTAACTGGAATTAACCACATATGAGCATCCTTTTATATTCATCACAAATGTTTGTGATTTAAAAGATTGAAATAATTATTGTTGAATGACAGGAAACTGGACAATAATAATTTTTTTACTGGATTTATTTACACTAAAGTGATTAAAAACAAGGTTTTTGATAAGTTTTTTTTTAAATATAAGGTATAATAATTCAACAGTTGGTTATCAAATTAAATGATTTCGTGTTATTTATAATAAACTTCATCACGAGATTGAATTTTTAGTGTTTTTTATATTGTTGAATAATATAATTATGTAACTTTATCTATTTATAATTTTAGAATTTATAATTATTTATACATCAATGTTATTTATGATTTGTTTAATAATTATTTATGATAATTGTTTATTTTTATTTCTAGGTAAGTTCAAAGGATTGTGTGGCTTCTAATCAACTAGTGAGTTAATTTTCATTTTTTTATATTTCAATTCACTATTTTTTAATTGTATAATTAATTTAATCAAGATTTTTACAATTACTGTTTTAGTACTTAAGATTAATTAACAATAATTGTGAATATAAAATTTGGAATAAGAATTAAAAATTTCACACGTACTGGGGATTGAACCCCAGACCAAAAGGGACGCATCGCTCACAAAAACTGTCCATCGCTGACCATGTAGCCACGCTGATTTGCTGATTGACTATGTTCTAATAACGTTGAGAATTAATATTTTTATCCTCAAAATAAATATATTTTAAATGTAATTATAAATACATTTCATCTTATAATATATAAAATAGATAGTTTTAATTCATCGTCAACTTTGATTTTTCTCACATGGGAAATTTTTGAGTAGGTACATACATTCTTTTTTTTAAATATTCACTAAATAGTAGTATAGATGTTAATTTTTTTTGGATTTCATAATTGTAGTAAAGATAGAAATTGTTTTTTTTTAAATCCACATTTTATTTTTTAAAAATCATTAAAAATGAGCTTTTGCCTGTCAACGTCTTTTCCCCCGTCAAATAAATTATAAATCTGAAAAGGCCCGAAGTTGACGGGCAAAAGCTCATTTTTAATGATTTTTCAAAAAAAACCAATTTCCATCTTTACTATTTATTAAATACTTCAAAGATATTCATATTTTAGTATTCTTTTTTTTTATATTTTTTTATTGTTCTTAGAATCATATGCCTTGTGAGTTATATAAAATAATTTTCTATCCTAATTTTTATTTTCATTTGGAAATAGTTGCTGGTCAACACATTTCTGTAAGTGTAGATATTGCTCACATGCGTCTGTCAAGTCAGGCACTAAACATTCAAAACGATCACTGATTACATGTTTGTTATTTGAATTTTTATTTTTATTCCACCTAAAGCTAATAAAAAAATTCTCAGTAGAGTGGAAAATTATTTTTTAAATTTGTTATAATAATTTGTGAAAGAAATATCTTTTATGAAAATTTTCAGATCGAAAATCAAATTATTTTTTAGATATAGGGGAATATACTCAGGGTTGGACACTTTGCTTTTCTTAAAATAAGAACACTAGTTCCACCTATGCACGGACGTGACAAAGCTTCTCGTAGTGAAACCTAACTTTTTGTGACATTACATTTTTGGAGGATCAAAAGTAGCGTCTGCTGTGACGTCGGTGCATTTGTAGAAGCAAAAAAGTTTTGTAAGCAATGTGATTAAACATAAAAAATGAATAAAGAAAACAAGAAATCGGTAAGGTAAGTTTATTGCATCTATTGTGGGGTTCATGATTGAAGAAAAAATGAAGTGCAAAATCGAATCGCGAAACATGTCTGGTTATGGTTAGCACAATTCCATAACGTTCAACCCTGACGAGATTTTTTTTTAATGATCAGGACTTTTTTAATTTTAGACCAATCAATTTACGATCTGCAGCAAAAGTGTTCCTCTTTTGTACATTATTCTAACAATATAACTCAATTGACTAAATTTATTTTTTAAATAAAGATTATAAACAAAGTCCAAAACGGTGTCCAACCCTAAATATATTCCCCTACATAATAACAATTATTATATTATTGTCAATTATGGAAGTTATTGATAAATTCAACAAATTTGAATTGTTAAATTTAAAATTAAAAATTTTAAGAATTAAATATAAATACACACTTAAAAAAAATCTTTGATTTATTTTTTAGGCTGAATTTAAGATATAAACAATTTCAGACTTTGATTTTTTTATTTAAAGCAATTTGAAAACTCTTTAAGAGAAAGAAAGAAAAAATAAAAAAAGAATTAACTTACAATTTTCACCACAAAATTTATAAGCTTTCAATTCGTCCTGAACCGCTCTTGAATCCTCAACATCAAGCAAATATTTTGCATATTTTTCCAAATCAAATTTCCTGTCTTTAATCTATAAATTTTACAGAGAATTTTTCAAAATACTAAATTATTTTCTGCATTAATTTCCAATCCCATGATTTTATATTACTCACTATTCCTGCTTTTACAGCAATACAAGAATTGAAGCAAGTTAAATTCACTTGTGTTGAATAAATTTCGTTCACTATATAACATAAAATTGAAAATACATTACTTGTCAGCCATAAAATTAAAATATATTACTTGTCAAAATTTTTGAAAAAAAAATATATTAAAATTTACAACCTGTGATATCGTATTCTTTTAAACAAAGATCAAAAGCTCCATCCATTTTGTCTACATTACTTTGACATGTTATTTTCTTCTAAAATATCATAATTATTAATGTGCATTGACACTTTAAAATTCTTTACTTATATAATTATCAATTATTTTATTATGAAAGTAAAACTAATTATTCAAGTGTAAAATTAATTTTCTTTTATTAAACTGGTGAATATAATAATTATTGTAAAAATAATGAATTATTTTATTATGAAGTTAGCATTTTATTAGCCAAACAATTAATTAATTGTCTCATTAACTTACCTGAATCATAAATAATGACACTAAAAACACTAAAAATACCTTCATTATTTTTATTTTCACTTATTCTACAAATGGAAAAAGTTAAGCCAAGCAGGTACTGAACTTTTTAAAATATTTTCTATCGTTTATATATGTAAAGGATACACATATGCCCTGTTCCTCTATAAGTTGAAACAATGATTCAAAACATAACACCGGAAACTGGATTGTAATCTTGAATCATATATTCTTGTAAACAAAGGCACTTTCATTGAAAATGCAATGCAGAATGCTAATTTACGAATTTGAAAAAAAAAACTTTCTATCATTTTCTTGGAAATTCCATGTAGTTAATGCTAAAACACTATTTGCAATTTGTACATAAAAAAAGATTGCACTTAAATTTAAATACTATATGTATATACCCGTGTAGAAATCACCAACGTATGCCTAAAATGATTGTTGGCCCAACATTGGTTCTACCTTGGCAGCCCCTGTTTATATATTCTAGACTGGTCCTAACTTGGACTTAGCTAGAACATCTAGTTAAGTGTTAGAAAATTTTTTATGAAAAAAAGTGATTGAATTTTGGATTTGTAAAATAATCTCAGATAATACTTAAATAATTAATTGATAATTATTTATATGGTTTTAATTATTTATTAATTTCCAGTAAATATTGAAAGACATTTTTTCATAGTTATATTTGTTAATTTATTTAATTGTTATATATATTGCCAAATAATATATTTCAAAATTATTTTGTTGAATTTTTATTTGTTTAAACAATTTATTGTTCATAATTTATAACTTTTTTAAATATCCATAGACAGCAGCACAATTTTATAAATTTGTTACCTTCTCTTAGTAGTTATTAATTTAAAGGTTATAAATAAAATAAAATATAGAATTAAATTTTGCAACAACTATTATGTTAAATTGTTTGAACAAATAATTGTTTCTATTTATTAACATTTTTCATAATTTCCCTAGAAAAATGCAGTATTTTTTTCCTATTTTTGCAATTTATCAAACAAAATATAAAGTTATAATAGTTATTAATTAACTTTTTTTGTAGTACACCTAGAAAAATGCAGTTTTTTCTTAATTTTATAATTATCAAGTAGAATAATATAAACTTGATTAAATTGTAAAATTAGGAAAAAGCTGCATCTTTCTAGGTGCACTACAAAAAAGTTAATAAATAACAACAATAAATTGTTTAAACAATTGTTGAATTAATAATTTTACATCAAATCTATCTTTATATTCGATTTGATAAATTGTAAAATTAGGAAAAAACTGCATCTTTCTAAGGTGCACTACAAAAAAAGTTAATATAAATAACAATAAATTGTTTAAACAATTAAACAATGCAATATAATGTTTTAAATCCATTATTTGGCAACATAAAACACTTACAGTGAAAGTTCTGGATGATTTCAAGTATTTTTGTAAAATAGAATTAAAAACATATAGTGAAAATTTATATAGACAAATGAAATAAAAATATATAATTATGTTCGGTAGCCGCGGTCGTTAAAGCGTTCGTTAGGTCTCTTAAGTCATGCGTCTGGGGTTCGATTCCCGTAGGGTTCAAATTTTAATTCCACTCTCAAATTTTAATTTAAAACTTACAGGATATTCCTTCTTGAAAGTTAGTATTAATTGTGGTTAAAATTAATTTTTTAAATTATTTATTATTTATTATTAAAACTGGTTGTAACTAGGCACCCAAGTTAGGACCAGGCTAAAATCGCATAACAAACCATTGTAGGATCAAGCTAGAATGCCAAACTTGGAATTAGTTAATAATAGGGCAAAATAGATAGGACCAAGCTAGGACCAGTTTTTATTTTCTACTTATATATACAAAAAATAATTATTGGATTAAATATTTTTGTCTGTAATTTTTTATCGATAAAATCTCAAATTTTGATATATAAATCGTATTACCATTTCGCATGGCTTAGCGTAATTTTCGTATTTGTTGGCTTACTGTTTTAATCCTCTTTTGTTATTATGTTCGCTGATAATTACAATCCACTACAATTGTATAAATTTTAGGGGTTAAATTGCTTCTCCATCAAAATCAGAATAATAAAGTTATTTGTATTTATGTTCACATATTCAAAGTATACATAAAAAATTATTTAACTCTATAAACATTTGATCGAAATTTAACTGTAATTTAAATTAATAACGGATTTTTGTACATTTTTACGTTTAAAAAAATTGAATATCGTCATTTTTAAATTTTTAATTGATTTATTTGTAAAAATTGATAAAAATTTATATAATTAAAATTAAACCTAATTACGGATTTACTATAATTCTTATTACTTAAAATGATTAATTAATTAAAAATATTTTTAGTAAATTTTTCTTTCATCTATTTTTTATTGAATAGAATTTTTAATCACTTCAATTTATTTTCTTCAAAATTTTAATTAACAAAATATTTGTATAACCTAAAATTTATTTCTCATAATTTTTGTTTAAAACCTATAATTATTATGTGCTCTAGTTTTGAATAGTACAAATTTTAATTAAAACCAATTTTTAGGGGGCCTAAATATAATATAGTAGAAGTTATATACCTAAAGCTAATTAATTAACTGATTAGAAAAAAACGTTTGATCAAAATTTCAAATTGATAATAATAGAATGTTATTTATTCTAATGCACAATTTCTTAAATTATAAAATTATTAAAAAATATTGTTATTATGATTTTCAACACATTTTTATTTGCTATGTTTTTTTGTCACCTTTTTGTCCTCTTTTCACTTTTTTTTGAGGAAAAAAGTAAAAAAAAGAAGGTAAAAAGTAAAAGATACTGTGAAGCCTGCAAATGACACTACATTTTTTTATTTTAAAAAATTGAAAATTTCGATTGTTTTTTATGCATGTTTATATATATATATATATATATATGTATATTACAAGCAAAGAGGCTTTTATTTGGCTAGATGTGAGATAGTTTAGGGCTCTTTGGTCAGGCCGTTTCATGATTTACTACGGTCGTGCGGAATCCTAACAATGTTAATTTCACATAGTAACCAGGAATTCGGGCCTCGCCTGCTGCTGTGCCAATATATAACGCTTATGGCCCTCGTGGACGTTCCGCGAATACGTATTAACCACAAACATAGGGGGAGGCAATTTTCACCCTTTTTTTGTTGCAGATCACCTTTTTCAATTTCCTCTGTGCAAATATGAAATTATGATCTAAACTTTCACTAAACTTTGTACTAGTAAAAAATCTATTGAGTTCCAATCACAAAAAAAAATACCTGTAATAGCAAAAGGTTTAATTAGAATAACAAAAGTTTTAATTGTAGTTAAATCGCATTCACTATTCTAGTGAAACCTTTCGCTGCTCCAGATAAAGCTTTCTTTCGTGCATCTCAAAATTCAATTCAAACAGTTTTTAATTAATTATATAAAAAAGAAAATCGCATTTTTAATATAATAAACTGTTGTTTAAAATGATATTGACTTCTTTCATAACGTCGCCGACTTAAATTAGAAATTTCCGATTACATTTTTTCAAATGCATGTTTATTCAAGATTTTTTAAATAATACGTTATAAGAAATGCACGAGTAAATAACACCAAAAATTTAATGTTGAAGTAAAAAATTACAATGTTTTTGTATTTTTTAAATTATACAGCTTTTTTGGTAGAGAAGAAGAGATAATTATTATTACATTATTCTTTATTTTTATATATAAATTTATTAATTAAATTGAAATTTTATTATAATTTTAACTTTCTTTGCAGGTTAAATTGTTTTATTTTACGATAATAAAAATTTAAAAACCAATTATAAATATTTTTTGCAATACCGACTAGTGTTTATTATTTACAATAAAAAATTATTTTGATCATAAAATTAAAAAAAAACAATACCAAATTTTTTACGCACATTTTTTTGTCACATTGCTCCTTTTGCATTATGGGAAGAAATTTAACTGAAATAAATATATGAATATGAATTAATATTTGGAAATTTTTTTAGTTTTTTTTTTTTGTATATTTTCACTTACATCGCTATTATGTTCATAAGCGCATTTTATATATGCATAAGAAGATTCACATAAGTCATCATGAACTGGAAAAACAAGATTTTTTAAATATATTACATTAATAATACAAAAATGTATAAATTTTTTAGTATCTCAAGTAAAATTGAAAAAAATTAAAAAAATTTTTTTTATTTTGCAGTAAAAGGAACAATAATTTTTATTAAATTGATTAAAATTTGTAAAAAGGAGCAAACAATTGAATCGTAAATTTTGAAAATGGCTCAACTTGAAAAAACGTGTAATTTTCATATAACGAATTGATAGTGAAAATGACTATTATGATTTTTTAGAGTTGATCCTTTTTCAAAATTCACAATTCATTTTTTTGGCCCCTATTAATGCATAAATATTAAAAAAAAATTTTATGGTCTCTATTGTAAAATATATTGATAAAATTTGAAATGTCTTACGAGATGCATGATGTTGACAAGCATCGATCACTTGAATCATTTGAACTGCAAGACTGTCTTCTACTAAAGCTTGAACTTGAGTTCTCATAATGGACACTGCAAGTTTTCCACCTTTTACCTGAAATAATAAAAAATTTTTTTTTAAAATTATGTTGCTATTAATATAACAAACCTTTATAAATTTATAGCAATTTTTTTTACTCACTGCTTTGAATTTTTGCATAAGACACATAAAATAACACTTGAGTTGCGGATCGTCAACAAAATTTCCTTTATGAGCTGCATCAATTAATTCTAAATATTAAAATAAGAAAAAAATATTATCTACAATAGACACATTGCATTTTCTAAATACTATAATTGTCCATTCCAATATTTATGTTAAAAGCAATTAAATATATAGGTATATAATATTCATAAATGACAAAACTAATTTATTAGGGGAATGGTGTCAGGGTTGGACACTTGGCTTTTTTTAAATAAGAACACTAGCGCCACCTGTGTGCGTACGTGACGAATCTTCTAGTAGTGTAACCTAACTTTTTGTGGCATTACATTTTTGGAGAATCAAAAGTAGCGTCTCCTGTGACTTCGGTGCAATCGAAGAGACAAAAAAAGTTTTGTTTGACTTGTGAATAAACCTAAAAAATGTATAAAAAAAGCAAGAATCCGGCAAGGTAAGCTTATTGAATGTATTGTGGGGTACATAATTTAAAAAGAAAAAAAGTGAAAAATCGAATCGCGACACATGTCTGGTTATGGTTAGCACAATTCGAAAATGATGCTTCTAGTTAGAGTTGGACACCCATATTAATTATGAATTTGACACAATTTATAAATAAATTTTATTTTATTGATATTTCAGTGCAAAATTGTGCCAAAGATATTAGAAAAATAATACTTAAATTGTATAAATTTTGTTCATCATTTCATTGAGTTATTTGAAACAATAAAGCGTTATTTTTTGTAATTTGAGTTCATTCCTTTTTTAAACCCATGAAGCTTTACAATTTGTAAACAATAAGTAAAGATAAACATGAAAAAATAAGAATAAAAAACATTACAAATGTTATTTTACGTTTTTACCAATAATGCGTTTCGATTTTCAAAAAGTGTCCAACCCTGACTGAAAAGTCCAACCCTGACTAGATTTTTTTTTCTAAATGTTTATGACTTTTTTAATTTTGGACCAATCAATTTACGGTCCACAGCAAAAGTGTTCCTCTTTTGTAGATCTTTCCACCCATATACGACAATTGACTGAATTTATCTAAACAAAATATTTATAAACAAAAAACCAAAACTGTGTCCAACCCTGACACTATTCCCCTATTCAAATAGAATTATGCATTAAAAATATAATATGTTATTTTAAAAGAGGAAAGCAAATTTATTTTAAATAGGAAAATTTTCTTTCTCTTTTTTTCTGAGTAGATGTTTATCATATTCAATTGTAAATAAGTGAGGACTATCTTAAAAAATTGTATTTTAAAACAAAACTTGATTCCTCCCTTTAAATAATAAATTCATATACATACCTGGATCAACACCTGATTGCTGAATGCATGGTGCTTTTAAAGGTTTAGTAAATCTTTTTAATCCATCCATGTTAAATTTCTTTCATAAAATAACAAAAGCAGAAAAGTATATTAACATCATGTGACTGTTATATCCGTAATCACCACTTATATTAATTTAACGAACATTTTTTATCACAATATATATATTTAATGAATTGAGTTAAAATTTTGTTAAAATAGTTAAAATAGTCTCAAAAATTTGATATGAGGAATAATTTAACAAAGTTATTTTAGAAGAAAAGTGTCCGACAAATTAGCATTGCGTTTATGTGACCTAATATTATTCACATGGTGTTTTTGTATATTTTATAGTTATATTTTAATGAATTATTTTACTTTAATTTTCAATTATGCTGAAGCAAGTGATAAAATTTTCATCTGAAAGTAATATTATTATTTTCTTCAAAAAAAAATTATTTTATAATCACAAAAAAAAGTTCGTTTTCAAGAAATTAGAAGTTCTTGAAAATTTTAGCCATAATATCTTCAATAAAATAAAATGAAAATTATGATTGTAAATTAAATGAATCACCCCTTCAATTTTATTTATTAGAATTATTATCAAAACTGATCCAACTACAATGTTAGCTTTCATTTTTTATTTCTTTTATGTTTAACACTTTAACTTCAACTAATAATTTGTTGCATACAATATCTTTTATATTGTCTTGAATTGACAAAGCCTGAAATTAAGAATTTCCGTTTACAACTTGAAAGACATGTTAAAAGTTAATTCAATTTCTGCAATTGTATAATTATCTCAAATTTTGCAAATAATATATGGTATAAGAGGCGCACGAATCTAAATGTTTTTGCTTTTGAAACGTTTAAAAGCGTTTAACACCATGTGACTGTTATTTATTTTAAAATGCTTGGTAATTGTTAAAAAAAATACATGTGAGATTCGTAATTTTTCTATAAATGTATTAACATTCTATTGAACTATCATCATCAGAAAAAACACTAAAAAAACTGTTTTCATTAAATTTCAAAAATGAAAACCATTTTGATTATTTATTTTAAATGAACGAAATAATTTATTAAAATAAGTTTTGTACTATTACATTAGCAAATTAACTTTTCCTTTTTAATTTAACAAATTTCTTCCTTTTTTATTTTTTTTTTAATTTATACAATAAAGAAAAATAAAATTACTAACATAATTATGTTTTTGTAATAAGATTAATAATACCTATTATTTAGCATTTATAGTAAAAAATTATTTTTGCAAAAAATTGAAAAAAATAAAATAGTACAATGTTTCTACGCACATTTGTTGTCACCTTATTTCTTTCTCATGGGAAAAAATTTAACTGAAAATAAAATAAATCGAAGAATATGAATTACTATTTAGAAAAATTGAAATTTTCTATGTAATTTAACTTACACTATTATCATATTCTACACCGCATTTAATATATGCATATGCAGCTTCACAGAGGTCTGCAATAACTAGAAAAAAAATAGATTTTATAAAAATGGGACATTTTTTACATTCAAATATAAGATCTACAAAAAGTGGTCTAACGTCCAAAAATTGATTTTCACTTTTTTTTAAGAGAAGAAAGTCTGCCACATTAGATCCACCATTTTGAATTTTAAAAATAAAATGTCAGATTAGTAATCATCGAACATGAAAATACCCTACTATACACACTGAAAAAAATTTTATTTAACTCAAATAATCGGTTACTTGAATATTATCAAATAAATATTTATTTGTATCAACCCAGATAGAACGTAAACTTGCAGCAAGCTTGCCGCCCAATATTGCCAACCTTGCATGTCAAACTTGCCGCAAGGTTACTGCAAGCTTTAAATGTCCCACCTGACCCAAGCTTGCATGGCAACTTTACTGAAAGATTGCTCAGTAAGCCTACCGATAAATAAAAAAAATAAAAGCAAGGTTGGTGCAAAGTTGCCAAATAACCTTACTTTAAACCTAAAAAAATTTTTTTTTTAAATATTTCGTCTAATTTATATAATAAAATTATATAAATTATACGAAACATTAAAGAAAAAAAAATTGTTACGTTCAAAGTAAGGTTATTTGGCAATCTTGCACCAACCTTGCTACAAGCTTTCCGTGCAAGCTTATTGAGCAATCTTGCGATAGTCTTATTGTGCAATCTTGCAGTAACTTTACACTGCAATTTTTCGGTAAGCTTACCATGCAAGCTTGGGTCAGGTGGGACATTTGAAGTTTGCAACAAGTTTGCCGTTCAAGGTTGGCAATATTGCGCGGCAAGCTTACTGGGAAATAATTATTATTTGAATCAATTAAATGGTATTTGTTTCAAATACAGAAATTATTGGTTCAAAATTACAATTCATTTAATTCAAATAAAAATTATTTGATACAAAAGTAAATATTTATTTGATAATAGTCAAGTAATTATTTGAATCAACTTTTTTCAGTGGAGACTTTCAAGTAAATCCGATTAATTTTTAAAAATTCTACCAAGCCATATTGGATTTGACATTTTTAAATACAAAAATTTGATTCCAGATTCGCTTTTGGACGTTATGTCCATTTTTGTAGACCAAGGTACAAAAATAATGCGTATATTATTATCAAATTTGAAAATTCTTACGAGTTGTATGTTTACAAGCTTCTGTCAATTGCAATAATCGAACAGCAAGGGAGTCTTCAACTAAAGCATTAATTTGTGCTTGTAAAGCAGACACGGCAATTTTTCCACTTTTAATCTAAAATAATAATATAAAAATGAAAATTTTCATAAATGACAATTAGAAAATTATAAATAATGTAATTGGAAAATATGTTTACTCACTGTTTTTAGTTTTTGCAAAACACACATAAAATAACACTTGAGTTGAGGATCCTCAACAAAATTTTTATTATTAGCTGCCTCAATTAATGCTATATAAAAGAAAAATATTTTTATTGTTTTATTCCATAAAATAATAATTTTTATTTAAAATAAAGTTCTCTTACCTGGATCAACACCTGATTGTTGAATGCATGGTGCTTTTAAGGGTTTTGTCATTTTTTTCAATCCATCCAGGTTAAATTTCTTTTAAGAAATAACAAAAATTGAAAAGCATATTATTTTTTAAATATGTATAGAAAGTTAGATTGTTTAAAAACCGAGATGGAGTTTGTATTCAATATTGAAATTAAATATTTTACTATTCCTCTAAAAAATTTTATTATTTTCTCCAAGAAATTATTTTATAATCAAATAAAACACTTTCATGTTTAAAAAATTAGATGTTTTTAAAAATTAGATGTTTTTAAAAATTTTAGCTATATGTATATAGTTGAATTAAAATTTTGAAAAATTAAAAATATGATCATTAAAAGTAATCACCCCTTCAACATTATTTATTAGAATTATTGTTAAAACTGATCCAACTACAATGTTAGCTTTCATTTTTTATTTCTTTTGTGTTTAACACTTTAACTTCAACTAATAATTTGTTGCATACAATGTTATAAACTTCTTTTATATATCCGTCTTGAATTGACAAAACGTGGAATTAGGAATTTCCGATTACAACTCAAAAGACGTTTCAAAAATTAATTCAATTTGTGCAATTATATAATTATCTTAAATTTTGCAAATAATTTGTTATATAAAGCGTATAAGTAAAAAAAAAATTTTCTGTGTTTTAAAGTCTTTTTTAGGGTTTCGTTCAGAAAATGATGTCCAAAAGCGGATCCAGCCTTCTAATTATTCATTCATTTATGTTAACAATAAAAATTTTATATTCATTACATTCTTTTTAGAAAATATTTTTCTCAGATTTTTCGACTTATCTTTAAATAACATTTTCAGACTAAAAAAATTCTTAGACAATTAGTTTCGCCCAACTCTATACGCATTGTACCAATTAAAGATTCAACCAAATTTTTTTATAATAATAAAAATGACAAATTACATAATTACGTTTTTTGTAATACAACTAGTATTATTTATTATTTACAATAAAAAATTATTTTGTCATGAAAATGAAAAAATAACGCATATATATATATATATATATATATATATATATATATATATATATATTATTTTACACAAATATTTTTTGTCACCTTGTTCCTTTATTCATGGGAAAAAATTTAACTGAAAATAAAATAAATCAATGAATATGAATAATTATTTTAAAAAATTGTCATTTTTTATATCATTTTACTTACACCACTGTCATATTCATAAACACATTTAACATATGCAAATGAAGCTTCACATACGTCTTCGAGAACTAGAAAAACAAAAGATTTTTAAAATATTTTATATTTAACGCTCTATAATTTATAAAAAAAAAATCAAATTGGATTGAATTTTGTAGTTTTTAAAATTTTTTATTAATTTTTGTTTTTAATTTTTTATTAATTTTTGTTTTTAATTTTGTATTTTATTCAACTAAAAAAAATTTGTAAATTTAACAAACAATTTTCTTAGCCTAATGAGAAATATAATAAAAAAAATATATTTATCAAATTTCGAAATTTCTTACGAGCTGTATGTTCACATGCGTCTACTGCTTTATTCACTCGAATAGCAAGGCTATCTTCCATTAAAGCTTGAGCTTGAGTTTTTATAGCAGAAACTGTAAGTTTTCCACCTTTAATCTAAAATTATATTAAAATTATTATTATTATTATTATTTAGTAAATTGAACTTTCAATATTTATATAACAATACGCAAAATATTTTTACTCACTGTTTGTAGTTTTTGCAAAATACACATAAAGTAACATTTGAGATTTGGATCGTCTGCAAAATTTCCATTATGTGTTGCTTCAACTAATTCTAAATATTAAAGAAGGAAAAAAAAATAATGATTTTTTAACATTTTGCTTGATTTCTTTTTTTTCAGCTCCGACGAAAATTGTAATTTTTATCCAATTTTTATAAACAATAGCTTATTTTACTCCTTGAAAAATTATCTAGAATCGTAATATTTCCGAAATATTGTTGCTTTTTAAATAATTCGGAAACTTTAAGGTATTATATTTAAAGAATATAAATTTTTTTGAAATGAAAATTAAATAATGATTAATTTTCTTTTCAAAAAATTCATATTCTGTAAATATAATACCTTAAAGTTTCCAAATTATTAAACAAATTAAAAATGTATAATTTAATTTATAAATTGAATTATACATTTTTAATTTGTTTTAATTCTAAAAACAAAAATAATGAATGCCTCCGACTGTATACTCTGTCCGGAGCTACTCAACTCTTCTCTGAGTTGAACATACCTGGATCAACACCTGATTGCTGAATGCATGGAGCTTTTAAGGGTTTTGCCATTTTTTTCAATCCATCCATATTAAATTTCTTTCATGAAATATTAAAAATGGAAAAACATATTATTTTTTAAATATGTAAAGAAAGTTAGATTGTTTAAAAACCGAGAAGGAGTTTGTATTCAATATTGAAATTAAATATTGTACTTAAAATTTTCAATTTCATAATCAGTAGAGTTAAGAAAATATGACTGTAGAATTATAAAATATTTGCCGAATTGAACTGAAATTTTCTTAAAAAATTCAAAAACAAAATAAAAATGTTTTTTAATAATAAATATAATATATTAAAAATTTTGCACATCAAAGAGAATCCATATACAATTTTTTACTTCACAATATTTTAGCTCAATCCATCAAGTATTATAAAAAAAAAACCTGCATAAAATATTCACATGTGAAATGAAAATACCACACAGTCACATTTTTTTAAATGATTAAAATTTATTCTAAGAAATATTCATTGATTCCAAAAAAAATTGTATTATAAAACAGAATATTTTCAAGTTCAAGAAATTGAGTATTTTTTTTTTTAATTTTATCAATAAGTAAATTTCAATAAAAATTTTGTAAAATGAAATAAATTAATAACCCCTTCAACATTATTTATTAAAATTAATATGAAAACTGATCCAATAATAATGTTAATTTTCATTTTTTTTATGTTTAACACTTTCAATTTCATATCATAAACTCTTGTATAAAACAAAATTAACTTCTTTTATATATCTTCTTGCATTGACAAAACCTGAAATCAGGAATTTCCGGTTACAATTTAAAAGATGTTTTAATAGTTAACTCAATTTGTGAATCTATATTTTCAACTGAAATTGTGCAAGTAATAATATATAAGAAGCGTACGAATAAATCCCAACATTAAAATATTATATTTCAAAAATACTTTGTATCTCTTTTTAAAATTTTACCTTTTTTGTATTTTATAGTTTTCTTTTTCATTTATTAAAAAAAAAATCTTTCGCATTTTGATAAATCTCAATCTATTATACATATTATTAGAAATAATTGTTTCTTTTTAATTAAAAATCAATTTATTTTATTTTTTTCTAAATTTGACAATAATAAATTAAAAAATATCATAATATAATATACAAAAATTATTTTGGCAGAAAATTTGAATACATTCATTTTAACCTACATTTATTTGTCACGTTGTTCCTTTTTCATGATGGGAAAAAATTTAACTGAAAATAAAATAAATCAATGAATATATGAATTATTATTTAAAAAATTGACAATTTTTATATAATATGTAATTTTACTTACAGTGCTATCAAATGCCACAGCGCATTTAAAGTATTCAAATGCAGCTACACATACGTCTTCATGATCTAATAAAAACAATAGATTTATTAAATATAAAATTTTTAATTGTATTCGTAACAAATGAAAATTTGAAAAATCATCAAAAAATTTTATTGGACCTTAAAAAATATTATATTGTATAAATAATAATAAAAAAATTGTTGTAGTCTCGAATGTTGAATATAATTAAAAAATAAAATTTCTTACGAGTTGTATGTTCACAAGCATCTAACAATTGATTAACTCGTACAGCAAGGGTCTCTTCCATTAAAGCTTGAGCTTGAGTTCTTATGGCAGGTACGGAAATTTTTCCACCTTTAACCTATAAAATAATAAATAAAAGTTGAAATTTTAATAAATTTTATATTTAATTTTCTATAACTATTTATAAAATCTTTTTACTCACTCCTTGTAGTTTTTGTAAAAGACACATAAAATAACACTTAAGATTTGGATCGTCTGCGAAATTTCCATTATTAGCTGCAGTAATTAATTCTAAAAATTGAAGAAGAAAAATTTATCACTATTAATAATTATTATAATTATAATGTTTTGTAAGAATGTAAAATGTCAATTATTTTTTAAAACTGAGAAAAAAATGTATTTGATACAAATAATCGATTACTTGACTATTATCAAATAAATATTTATATTAAATAAATTGTATTCGGACCAATAATTTTTGTATTTGAAACAAATATCATCTCAAATAATAATTATTTAATACAAATAAATATTTATTTGATAATAGTCAAGTAATCGATTATTTGAATCAAATAAATTTTTTTCTCAGTTTTAAAAAATGGCGGAACTAATAATCTAATATCCATAATTGAATTGATTATTCAAAATCAACAAAAAAGAAAATTTTATTTCAAAGAAGAAATACATTCTTACATTTAAATATTTAATGTTACAACTTAAAATAAAACTTTGTATTCATCTTTAAAATAATACACTTGATTAAGGTGCACATACCTGGGTCAACTCCTGATTGTTGAATGCATGGTGCTTTTAAAGGTTTTGTCATTTTTTTCAATCCATCCAGGTTAAATTTCTTTTAAGAAATAACAAAAATAGAAAATTCATAGAGTATAATTATTACTCTTGAAAAAAAAAAATATTAAAGTTTTTGATATACAATTCAAATGAAATATTTTACACTTTAAAATCTATGAATACAATTTGAATAAGTGATGTTAAGGACATGTGACTGTAGTCTTGTTAAATATTTCATTGATATAGCTAAAAATGTTAAAAAAAAAGAAGTCAAAAACACAATAAGGATTGTTTATGAAATGTAATACAATTTTTGTATATTTCCCCCAAAACGTAAAATTTTTGCATTTAATTTAATATAAAAATTTAATTTCAAAAAGGGATCTTCTAGAATTTTCAAAACTTTTTAGTGTAATATTCAAAAAAAAAACCAGTTGAGCCCTCTTTGAAATTACTTATTCTTTATCCTTATACTATTTTTGATCTCTCCACAAAATTTGAACTTAATTCATAAAATATTTTACAAAATTACAATTTTGAAACTTTTTTTAAGAAAATATTTTCATATTTAAGCAATTGTGGATGTTTTTTTTTGAAATTTTATTAATAAATAAATTTTTAATAAAAAAAGGTTGAAAAATGAAAATTATTGACAGTCAAATTATAATCACCCCTTCAACATTATTTATTAGAATTATTGTAAAAATTGATCCAATAACAATATTAATTTTCATTTTGTCTTTACTTTTGTTGATTTTAACGCTTTCAACTTGATCAAATAAACTGTTGTATAAGACAATATTGACTTCTTTTATATCATCTTACATTGACAAAACCTGAAATCAGGAATTTCCGGTTACAATTTAAAAGAGGTTTTAATAGTTAACTCAATTTGTGGATCTATGCGTTCACCTGAAATTTTGCAAGTTATTAATTACAATTATTATAAGTTTAAAAAAAAAATTACCAACGCTTTGTTATCAATCATTTTTGAATCACAAATAAGCTATTTCAGTTTGGTTTTAATCAACAAATGCCTTGCTTAAATTGGCTTGAAATTACAAACGTATAAAGTAGTTGTTTAAATAATGCTTGATTTCTTTTTAATAATGTAAATAGATATAGATTTCGAAACGTTAATAAATACGTTTTGTTTGCCTCTAATTTGAAAATAACACATTATACATGCTTAAATAACAGTTTCTAAAAGTGGCAATTTTTTTTTATTTATAATTATTTATAATGACAAACAAGTAGGTATTTGAACGACGTTGTGGAAATAACGGTAACAAGTGTTCAGAAAATTTTGTTTCTTCCTGAAGGGGAGAGTCGGGTAAGTTCGGTTGTCGGCTAAGTACGTTTTTGTTAATAACTTTTTCAAAAATTAATATAAAATCAAACTGTTTTTAAGAATGAAGTCTAATGTGGTAACAATAATTTCTATAAAGTTTTTTGTGCTAATCAGTTTGTTATTGACGAAAATATTAAATAATTTTTTTAACGTTACTTCCAAACGATAATTTTTTCAACTTTGAATTTTGGAAAAATATACCTGCTTCTCATTTACTACTGACACTTTAATTATAATTTATTTAATGTCTTCATTAACAAATAATTCAGAATAATTTTTTTTCTTATTCTTGAATGTTGTCTTCTTACTATAAAACAGTTTTTATACTTAAACAATATAATTACGTAACTTTTTTTTACAATTAAAAACTGATATTAATTTTACATAAAGAAACTTTTAATCAAGGAAAAACTGTCGTCAACATAACCTATAATTCGTTTACTTTTAAGGTTTATTAGAACACTGGATTATTTGGAAAGCTTAGGCGCTAAAACAGGGTGAGGAGAAAAGGGAAGTATCTCTGCACGCAGTAGCGCATCTATTAAAGAGTCCGTTCCCCGCCTTGATTTAATGTATTATTTTGCAATTATTTATTGGTGTTATATGAATATGATAAAAATTAATAAGCTGTGTAACAATTTTGCTAAGTAAAATTTATTTTATTTCTAAAAAACAATTAATATTTCTCATTTAATTAATATTTTTTTTCTCACGTCTCATGCGCCTAACCTCAAAATTGTTGTTCAACTGTCAAACTTTGGTTATGTATTTCAATCGAAGGCAAAAAAAACTTCTTACGGCCCTGTAGGTTTATGCTTTTTCGTCAAGGTGACCTGTCCCGATTATTCGGACACACACCCGAGCTGTCCTAATAACCGATGTTCCAGTGTATTTGTTTTGGTCGACAATGGATCAGTCAAAATATTCATGTTTATAAAATGTGGTATTGACAACACTGAATATATAGGATGTGTAAACATCGAAATATATTAATGTAAAATATTATTAATTCATGAATATTTTAAATTATTTTTTAATTTTATTTGATGCAAAATAAGTTTAAGTGCAACTCAAAATATTATTATTGAAACACTTGCTTGGTAATTAATAGCAGTGATCCACTGTATACTAGCCTTAATCTCAAAATAGATGAATGTATTAAGTTCGAAAAACTTTAAATTTTTATATATAATCATGGTCAAATCTTAATACCTATAACGTGTACATTATTTTGAAAAATGTATAACTTTTACACTGATATAAAAAAGCATTCAAAATTTTTTAAATTAATATATTACAGCTTTAAAAAAAGCAATCCATTGTTGCTCACTCTCCTTTTTTTTTTACTATTCTCATTATGTCATATTATATTTGCGTCAAAAAATTATCTGTTCTGCTTTTTCATTTTTAGAGATACAAGAATACTTTAAAATTTATTTATTTATTTTATTTTTACTTATGTTAAAGTAAAAGTCATCATAATAATTAATATTTATGTACTTTTATTTATTTTAAATTTAATTTTTCATCTACTTATTAGAATATGTAATTTACTTCATTATAATTTGATTTTTCAAATTCTTAGTACATGAGTACATCATACGGCACTGAAATCATACTGCAGCGCTCGTCAGTTCGGGACAATTCGGTACTAAAACGACTCTTCAGTTACGGACATTCCTCACTTACGGATTTCGCCACTTACGACGTTCGATTGTATATAAATGAGAATTGCAACATTTTATAAATAAAATCGTCTCAAACTATTTTTTTATTCAAAACATTATACATTCTCTTTTTTACTATATCAATATAGTCAATTAGCGGATGAGCCTTGTTATTGATAAAATTATTGTAATAAATACTACAAGTACTTTAAATAATTTCTTTTTTTTTTGTCTTTTACAGCCTTTTGTTGATTAGTTGTATATATACAATTTTATTGAATCCAGTTAGGCGATTTCTTTATTGTTTATGGAAAGAAATAGAGCTGTAAAAATAAACGTGAAGAGATATAAATTAATATAATATAAAATAATACATATCTAATTAACATATTAATAATTAATAACGCATCATCAATTATAACGTATAATTTAGCAATCGTAATCATGTGACAATAATTAATAAATAATAAAAATAATAACAAAAAAATTAATTAATAATAATAATTAATCTTACTTTCAAGGCTTATTTAATTTCAGATACATCTTAAAATACGATATTCTTTTTACTGTGATATTAAATTCTTTTAAATGAAGCAAAATATAAATAAATAAAATTCGTTTTCGTTAGACAGACAACGAAAATATCAAGTAAATTTATAATTAAAATATAAAAATTAACGTACCGAGGGATCGTATTTGTAGCCACATACAGTAAATTGATAAGCAGCTTCACAAATATCTAAACTTGTTGCTGAAAAAAGACTTTAAACATTAAATAAATAGAAACTGATTTTACTGTCAATTTAGAAAAATTGACGTATTTGAACATTATATGAATATTAATTGTCAGCTATTTTCTATTTCACTTAACAAACTCACAAACTGTTATTAATATTATTCTTTTATGATTGTCGTATTCGGTCTACATCCAGAGCCAAATAACTTTTTATTTGTGTCAAATAAATTTTGATTTAAATAAAAAAAAATTTTATGACAAATAAAAAAAGTTATTAGGCTCTGAGACAAAATACGTTTATTTAACTCAAATATATATTATATTTGTTTAAAATAAAACATTTCTCTGGGTTTATTTTTTACACTCACCTTCAGGGATACAAACTGCAGCCAATCCTTTTAATCTCCCAGCCAACTCTTCCGTAAGCATTACCGCCATTTGAGAATTCAAGGAATCTTCTGAAATTTTGTCGTTTTTAATCTGAAAATATGTTATTTAAATTAAATAGATATTAATTTCTCAAAATTACCTTAAAAATTGTACACTTATTCAGTGAAATATATGGGGCATTTCACGGGGAAATTTCCATTAAAAAATTTTTTTTTTCGAAACATTTTTTTTCGAAATCTATATGAAAAATAAGGAAATACGTATTTTTTTATTTGATGAAAATAAAGGAAGTTATGATTTTTTGAAATTTAACGTCAACGAAGGAAGTGTGTTTTTGGAACATTTTTTAATCTATAACAGAAGCAACAAAAAAGTTGAAATTAAACTTTAAAGGTGAAAAAATTCTTCAGTCATTAGAGATTGTAATGCAAAAAAAAAAAAAATTAAAAATCGAAAGTGTCTCTTCTAAGAAAACTCACTTTTTAAGTTTAATTTCAATTTTTTTGTTGCTTCTGTTATAGGTATGTTATTTTTGAGCACATATTTGAAAAATTTGAGAAAAAATCAACAAATTTCATATATGAAGCATAATTTTTAATTTTTTAGTGGGTGATTCTCCGCGTAGCGCCCGATTTGGTCTCTGAAACTTTAAACAAATTTTTTTTTTGTAATGATAAATATCAATATGTATTTTTGAAGATAAAGTGTCAAGAAATAAATATCCATGGTGGGCCGAACAAATTGTTTATAATTTTTTAAACATATTAAAAAAAAAAAATTTTTTTGCTTTTTGAATTCTATAAAATAGTTGAAATTTGATTTAAAATGTTAATGAAAATTTTTGGGATAATTCGGTAATTTACGGAAGTTTTCGAGGTAATTTATGGAAATTTATGCGGTAATTTATAGAAATTTTGTCTAACATTTATAAAAATATGTAAAACAAATTACAATTAAAAATTTTAATTTTGGTAATTTACGGAAATTTCCGCGGTAATTTATGGAAATTTTCGCGGTAACTTACAAAAATATATACAGCGCGAACGACAATTAAAAATTTTTATTTCGGTAATTTATGGAAATTTTCGTGGTAATTTACAAAAAAATAAATAGCGCGAACGACAATTCAAAATTTTAAATTTGTAATAATAATAATAATATTTGTAATTTTAATATTTACCGAATTTGTAATTATTTATTACTTATCTGAAGTTTAATATTTAAAACAAATTTTTTTACTTCACATTTTATGTGCACTTATAGACACTCGAGTGATACACGCCGTTCAATGGAGAAAAAGCCTTACCATGATGATGAGGCCAGACAATGACGCACAAGAAAGACTGATTTTTTCAACAATTTATTAACAATTTTCAATCTGTTTCATATATGCATGTTATTTATATTCACTGAACTAATACTACTACACTTCAGTTGACATAAAATATAAATAATTATTAATTTTATTGAGAAATATTTGAAGGCCAGACCATGACGATTCTGTGATTCCCTATGCACATTTGATGCTTTTAATGTGTGAAAAATAAAAAAATTAATTCTGAAAGCAGTTTCTCTCTTAGTAATTCACTTAGGAGAGCTTATTGTTGCTTTTAACTAATGGTGAGTGAAGTTTCGATTTTATTTCTATGTAAAAAAATGCTATTTTATAAAAAGGCCAAAACATGACGCAAAAACGAGGGACAAGAATTAACACCAAAAAAATAAATTTTTTTTTTCACAAATGGTTTATTTTCACAATTTTACTAATATAAACAATACGAAACTATCAATAGTTTTTATATTGATTACTGTATTTTACTAAAAATAACATTTTTTTTTATATAAAAGTGGTACTGGGGACAGGTCATACCATGACGTTTTGGCACCTTAAAACAGCTTTTTAAGTAAAATTCTAAACTTTTAATTAAAAACGACTATGGGCTTTTGTTTATAAACATAGAAATTAGTTTTTCTTATTGGATTTATTGCAATATGTGCAAATGATTTTTTAAAAAATACGAGGGACATTAAGTTGTGCGCTACGCGGAGAATCACCCTAGTACAATAGTTTAAAAAATGTTCCAAAAACACACTTCCTTCGTTGACATTAAATTTCAAAACATCATAACTTCCTTCATTTTCATCAAATAAAAAAATAAAAAATACGATTTCCTTATTTTTCATATAAATTTCGAAAAAAATGTTTCGGACAAAAAAAAAATTTTATTGAAAATTTCCTATGAAATGCCCCATATATAGTTTTGAAAAGTTTATTTAAAAAAAAAATTACTTACAATACTCATTGCTACAAACAGACATTTGAAGTAACACTGGAGTTCCGGTACTGGTGGAAATTCTCCTTTTAATTTTGCATTATTGATCAGATCTATATTAAAATCACGGAGGAATATAAATCATAAGAATTACTTTTTTCAAATGTAATTTTGAAACTTTAATCAACATTTATTTATTATTATTTAATATTTAGTAAAATATTTTTATTATATACACTCAGAGAAATGGTATATTTGTCTCCGAGCCTACTAACTCATTTATTTGTTGCAAATATATTTTATTTCATTGAAATAAAAAATTTATTTGAGCCAAAGAAAAATTTATTTCTGACAAATAAAATTTTTATTTACTCCAAATAAATAAGCTAGTAGGCTCTGAGACAAATATACGTTTATTTAACTCAAATATATTTCATTTGATTCAAATAAATCATTTCTCTGGGTGTATGTAAATAAATAAAAAATTACTAAAGAATATATATTATTAATAATTTTTAATTGGTTTAGAAAAGTAAAAGTAAGTAAGTAAGTAATGTACTTACTTTAGTAAGTACATTTATTTAGTAACATAATTTACACAAAGGAACAGAAAATTTAAAAACATATAACTTTTATTATGGATTTGAGAAAATATATTAGCACACCCAGAGAAATGTTTTATTTGAACTAAATATAATATATTTGAGTTAAGTAAACGCATATTTGTCTCACAGCCTTCTAGCCTACTTATTTGGCGTAAATAAATTTTTTTATTTAAATCAAATGAATATTTATTAGACTGTGAGACAAATATATCATTTCTCTGGGTACACCTCAATTAAGTTTTATTGCAAAAAATAAACAAAATTTAGGTACTCGAAACTTTAAAGAAGCCGAGTATAAAATTTATATATTCCTATATCAAACTTTATTCCGAAAATTAATAATTCCAATTGAACATATAGAAAAAAATTACAAATATATGAAGTCAAACTATCTGTCATATTATGAAAAAATAATTTTAATTTCTTACCCATGGGACATCCAGTTTGTCTTTGACAATTTTTACCAACTGGCTTTCCGGCTTTGACTAATTGGTCAAAATTCATTTTCTTTTATATGATTACATGAAAAATAAACACAACTATTAGTTGCAATTTTAAGATTATTATAAATTAAATTATATTGTAATTTGAAAATTATTGAGTTTCCATTAGACATCATTGGATGTCATCTATATCGTGGATTTATCGCAAAAATGATATAAAATTTAAATAAAATTAAAATCACAAATACTAATGTATTTTTTTTTAAATTAGTGTATGACTAAAAAAAATTTTTTTTTATTCAATTAATTTTGAATGATATATTACAAATGCTTTTACTCTTAATTCAGAAAAAAAATCATGTACAAAAAATTTCATAAGAATCAAAAAAATTTATGCAATAAAATACTTACTCCTTCTATTTTTTGTAAACATATCACTAAAATAAAAATCAATGGACTGCTAATTAACAAAATTTTCATTTTGTTAAAAAACAAAATATTTTATTTGACAACCAAAACAAATTGCAGATTTGAATTGCTTTGTGAAGAAAAAAATTGTTAGCAAACGCTTTTATATGTGCAGAAAAATAAAGCTATAAACTCAAATCCTAAATTATAAATGATGGATTAAAGGACTATTAGGAATTTAATGAAAGAGTGGTTAGTAATTTCTGTCTTAAGTTGTCACGCGATTCGCGCAACATAAGAAAATGTTTATTTTATTCTTTTTTTATATAAACATTTACGTCTAAAGAATTTTGCCTTTAATATGAAGAATCATATTTTAAAATTATTTTAAAATTAAATATTAATTAATTTTATTAAAATACCAAAATTAATAAATATTTTTTAACAATAATAAATATAATTTTACATATTTTGTTACATAAATTTTTAATAATTTTAAATATGCTGAAAAAATTGGAACGAAGCAGTAATTTTTTGAAATTTTAATATTATATACAGTTGAATGATTAGTTTAAAGACTTTAGTTAATTATCGCAGACTACAATTTCAGTTTTTTTTGTACATTTTGTAGTAGTCTTTTTTAAATATGCAGTTAGCTAACAATAATTTTGAAAAAAAAAATTATAAGTTACGATAAATAATTTTACATTTTCAGAAAATGTCTTTGAAAATATATACTTATAAAAGAATAACTTTGAAATTATTACCTAAATTGAATTATAATTCCTTATAGATATATATATATATATATATATATATATATATATAAATGTCACCATTTGAAATAATAAATATTAAATAACTTAATGGTATAAATATGATGCACAGTCGTATAATAAATATAATTTTTTTTTTTAATATTTTACTCTGAGTATAAATATTTTTTTTTAAGGAATACTTCACTTCGTCTGTAAATAAGTTTTAGTGAAAATGGAATTAAAATCACTCCAGAAACCGTAAAATGAATCCAACATTTTATATAAAACGTCTGTATCTTCCTCATAAATATTTTTTATAAAATTGGTAGCAGCATTATAATAACCTTCACCTAAAATTAAATAAATTTAAAAATTTAATAATTTTCTATCTCGTAATTATATATATTTTTTAATATTTCATTTAGTATTTTATAATAAAAATCTTACCCATTGCAATGCATCCCGTAATAACAGAGTAAGTTGTTTTTAATTCTGGAAACAAATCAAAAAGCGGTTCAACCAAACTTAATTCCATTTTATTATTTTCATTCTGAAAATAAAATGTTTATAATATAAATATATAACATTTTTGTTCCAATACTAGAAAATTATTGTAAATACACTTCACTATTTTCATCACTTTTTCATTAATTAATAAATTATAATATTAACACTCACATCTTCAAATGCCATTATACTGTTTCTGTCTGACATTAGAATCCTTTTTTGATATTGGATTCAAAATTTAACGATTTTCAAAATTTTTAATTTTATCACCTTTTTAATTTTGTTTACACAATATTTTAAAATTTAACCAAAACACAATTTTACGATTGATAATAATGATAATTTTATGGACATCAATTAACACAGTCAATTAAAATAAAATAATGAACAATAAACTTTTAAGCATAATTTTAATAATGTTTAAGAGTTTTTTTTTTATTGTGACTATGTGATCTATCTGAAATTGAATCAACGGAATGCATTTGTCTTATGAAGAGTCTTATGAAAAATCATGACTTCTTAATGACTTGAGCTACATTAAAGCAGATAATCATTACTGCAAGACAACTGTCATCAGCTCTTTTTATCCGGCGGACATGATAATTTCAAATAGTCTATATGTACGTATTAACGAAGAAGATATAGGAAGTAGTACATACATAATAACAATGAAAGATAAAAAAAAAGTAGATCATATTAAATGATGAAAATGACTTTATAATGATTAGTTGCAAAACTATTTTATTCATTTATTAATAACCCGTAATAAATAATAATAATAATAATAATAGTAATAACAAAATTAGAAAATAATTTTAATATAATAATAGTTATAATAATTAAAAATAATAGTAAGAAGTAAAAATTTTAATAAAAATTTAATGAAACATAAACAATATAGCACAAATTAAAAATTTCTTAATTACATAATTTTTAAAAGTTATGATTATTTTTTACTTTTAAACTTGATTATTTTATATTTAAAAATGTATTAGTCTTTGAAAAATTTTTCCTTTATGCCTAAATTTTTATTTATTTTAACATTTTGTTTTATTACTTAAAATTCAATTCATTTTCTTACAAAAAACCTTTTTTCTTAATTTCCAAAATCTTAAACTTAATTTTTATTAAGTAACTTTTATTATCAAAATTGTTTACAATCAAATAACTTTGTACTTTGTTAACAAACAAAATTTCATTTAAGGGCAGGTCAAAGTTGATGCGATTTTCCCATTGAAACTCTTATGTAAAAAAATTGCATCGACTTTGACCTGCCCTTAAAGTCATTCATCACTATTATTATATTACATATTTAACTAAATTAATTACTTAATTATTAAAATTAATAAAAAAAAATTAAAAAATTATCATTAAAATTTACTGGAGCTTAAGATAATAGAATTTTATTTAAATTCTTATTAATTATTTATAACAATTTTAATATAAATGTCTCAGGTGCGTTTGCCAAAGCAGAATAAAACCTGTTAATAAAAATAACATCTAATTAGTTCATTTGAAATTATTAAAATCTTCTAAACTATTTTATAAATTTTTACACTTTTTCAAAAACATTAACTATTTGAATTTCTATTAAATTTTTTTATTGAATTTTAACTAAATTATTCATAAATCATTCATTAAATTTTTATTAAAATTTTTATGAAAAAAATCAATACTTACTCTGTGAAAAATTATGTATAAATATTTAACACCTGTCTTTATTCTGGATTTGCATACAATGCCCTCTTTCTTTAATAATGCTAACATCTCTGTTGAAATTCAATTGAAAAAAAAATTGATAAATACAATTGAAAAAAATTTTTATAATTTTTCAAAAATTGATCTAAATCTGAATTTTTTTTTATCTTTAACTAGTTCAAATGTGTTGATATATTGAGAAGTACTTAGTAAAATCTTTATTCAATTGGTATGGTGAATTTTATTAATTGATATATTAAACTTTACTTTATTCAGAGAAATGATATATTTATCTTACAGCCTAATAAATATTTATTTGATTTAAATAAAAAATTTTATTTACGCTCTCTACTCTCTAAATTTGAATCAGCTAAAATCCGCTGATTGGCAGCGAATAGTCGCTGATTGAAAAAGCTATAAGTATGCAGCTGCGAATCAGCGACTAACAACTATTTCAATCAGCGGAATACTCCATTTTAAAATAAATTTATCTTTCGACGAAAATGACCGACGTTCGCCAATTCGTGTTTCGCTATTTTATTAGCTGTAATCGCTGATTTGCAGTGAAAACTTTATTCGCTGATTCAAACAGTGAAATTTTAGCTAATTCAAATTTAGAGAGTAAAATTTGAATTAGTGAAAAGTGAGCTACTAATTAACATTAGTAAGAATTTTTATTAATTTTGAGTAAAATATTACTATTTGATTTAGTAGTTTTAAAATTTTTACGAAAGTTTTAATAAAAAGTGACTAAAAATTAGTAAAAATTCTTACTAATTTAGATAGTAGCTCACTTTCTGCTAATTCCAATTCAGAGAGCGCCAAATAAATAGGCTAGTAGGTTGTGAGACAAATATACGTTTACTTAACTCAAATATATTATATTTGCTTAAAATAAAAAATTTCTCTGGGTGTGCAGTAAAAAATTAAAATTAAAATGAAAGTTTAACAATAAAATAAATTACCTGGATCAAGTCCTAATTTCAACTGACATGTTTTTTTTAGACTTTCATACAAGCTTCTTATTAGATTGTCAGATAATCCCTGAAATAAATATTTCCAGTTTAAATAAAATTCTTTTTCAATGAATGAAAATAAAAAACACAACACTATATCACATTCACGTATTACATATTAATTTTAAAAAAACATTATTTTGTACTAACGCGTTTATTTCTCTCATTAACGAATGAACCTATCAAAATAATTAGAAGCGTTGAAGAAATATGCATTTTTATTAAAAAATTAACTTCTTTATTATAACTCCAAATGTATGATACAATTGTTTATAATGCATCTGTCACATTTGATATATCTATTGTGTCTTATATATTAATACACTTTTCATGTGATACTCGCCTTTTATAATCTTCGTTAAGAATGAAATTTGTCTAATGTCTCGATCATTAATTTAATTTTTATGAGAAAAAAAATTACTAAAACTTCTTTAATGAGAGCATTTCTCAAAAAACGATAGTTTACGTCATATAGTAATAAAAAAAACATTAAATTAATTTTCATTGTTTATGATATTAATTTAATGACAACAATGTTTGATGTTTTTGTAATTGTAAAGCATAAATTAATTATTAAAGTGACTCCTTTGTCTTCAAGATTCCTTCTAATGTTAAAATCTTGTATACAGAAACCCTATTCTCGTGCCATCTGGTCAGAATCCGCACCCTCGGCAGACATTCGGCCATTAATCGGAGTGCTTTTCTCTCGCGATGATCGATAATTGAACTGTTTCTTCCTTCAATTAATTTTATCTTATTTCTCTTTAGACAAAAATACTTCTTCTCTATAGTTGCATTACATTTGAAGAAATTAACTATAAATAAATAATAAAAAAACAATAATAATAATAAAACATGAAAATTTAAATAATAATTATAAAGAATAATAATTTACTTGTTTTCTATTTGTGTCCAAAATCAGTTTATCTATTTATTATACCTCATTTAATTTGCCTCATTAAAAACGACTTTTACCACTTGAAAAAATAAATCTCGCGCCTTGACAAAAACCTAATTTATCTATACTCAAAAATAAACTTTTCTTGCAAAGACAACTTTATCTATAGGGGAGAGTGTTAATATGTTAATTTAAAATTTTTTTGGCATTAACATAAAGTTTAAACTCTTTTCTAGATTCAAATTCGATGAAATAAAATGTCTGTAAAATGAAATTTTGTTTAAGTAAAAATATTTTGCCCTGATATTTTGTAATATAAAAATTCGGTTAAATGGAATTTTTGTAACATGTTAATTTGAAGAAATAAAAATTCGGCTGAAAGTAAAATCTGAGTAATGAAATATTGTCAAATAAAAATTCTAAAAAATAAATATTTAGAGCTTATTCATGCGTCCCGAAATTTCCTAATTACTTTTTCTTATTTAAAAATAAATTATTATTGTTAGCTTTGTGACAAATTAATTTAGTCTATATTAAAATGAAAATAGTATATTACAATTATTAGGGCAGAAAGTTCGAAATTTCCGCACCGCGATGATGCCCGGGGCGAAGCCCCCAATCTCGTATGTTATTTTTCTTCATATCCGGTCGAAAGTACGCACAATAATTCGCTAATTAAAAATATTTCAATTGCGTATTCCATTTCAAAGCCGGACATCTTTGCTCCTCGCTTCAACGCCTCTAACGGACAATCTGAAAGCTCTGACTTTTTCTCTATCTCTCTATATTAGTCAAGTCTCTTTTTCGATGTAGGCATCGAAAAAAGCAAAGAAAATACCAATATAACTAAAATTTTTGCAACAAAATATTAATATATATTCAATTTCATATTCAAATTTTGGAGGATATTTTATTTACTTTTATAATAGGGTGAATGTGGGTATTACTACGTGTTTTGAAATCGGTCATTTTCAAAGAAACATTTGAAGGTTTTAAAGTGAACGGTTATTAGTAATTATTTTTTTATGATTACCTGAACTATCCTAGAACTTAAAAAATCTATAAATTACTAAAAAAAAGTTAATGTTTATTTAAAAAAATAATTAATTAAAAAAAATGCACATGCGTGTAATACTACGAAAAGGCTCATATTACTACGCGTGCATTACTACGAACGTTTTTAATGCAACATATCATTATTAAAAATGAAATTATCTTATGAAATTAGAGAGTTCCTCGCTTTTTTTTCTTTTCAAAACTATTTGTTCAGCATCATTTGTTCTTTTTAATATTTCTTCTAGGTTTTGTTGCTGTTTTCTTAGATTTTCTTTTTCCCTTAACAACTTAGTTTGTTCTCTCTCTAATTTTTTTTCTTCTTGTCTTTTTTTGGCCGCGTTTTTCTTACTCTGGTTCTCGATGCTTTTTTCAGTTTTAATTCTTTTATTCTCAATTTTCTGTTCCTCCAATCTTTTTTTATTTTATTATTATTTATTTTATTATTTGACTAAAACTACTGTAAAACCCTATCAGAAATTCGTCACATTATGCTCTTCGAACGCGATCTGTCAAGAACAATTTTAGGTTATGTCAGCTGTTTTCGACGACGTAGCAATAGACGCATGCGTGAAAATTCCTGTGTGTATTTCTACGTTTAAAATTAAATAATGAAAATGGAAAAGTCATAATATTTAATTTATATTAATAAATTCTACGCTAACTACTTTATTTAAAAAAAATTTAACATAACATATTTCATTATTAAATACATATACGTATAATTATATTTCTAAAAGCACTTTCAACTCACTAAAGCAACTTTTTAGGCCTTCGACGGGAATAGCTATTTTCAAAGTTTAATAAAATAATTAGAGAATAATGTTTTTAGTATTTTTCAGTAATAATAGTAATCTTTATTATTTAAAGTTTTATTATGGATATTTTATTGTCCATTCTCTTTTAAATAACGCTTGTTTTTAGTAATTTAAATGAAATTCGTAGTAATGGGAACGTTCGTAGTAATACCCACATTCACCCTATGCACTGACACATACAAACACTTAGAAATCCTAAGAAATTTTAAGGTTATCTGTCAAAAAGAGAAGTTTAGTACGTACGTTGTTTTTTGCATACTCACAATCACAAAACTTCAAGAAAAATTTTTTATTTATAACATAGTTCTATATAACGACTGTAAAAGAGAGGAAATTTGAGAATAAGAGAGAGACAACAAGAAAAAAAACAGAACTCGGTTCTGTTGGGTTAAAATCGCGAAGAGTTACCGACCGAGCTATTTACAAAAAGATTTTTGCTCCCGCTGAAATAGATGACGCGCGTGTGCATTGCTATAGCAATGCAATGTTCAACTTTCTGCTGAGAAGTCAATGCAGGAGATACGTACTTTCGTCCGTGGTATGTAGAAAAAATTATTAATCCTTAATCCCTTGACAAGTCCATGGTACATATATGAGCCGCCGGAAAGTAAAAGGGCGCATATGTCCAGAAAAAAGTCATGCCACCTTTGTGCGTTTGGACATATATGTATATCCACCTTAGAAAAAAATACTAAAAGTAATTCGACTTGAGTGTCAATGGATATACACTGGAACTCCCGAAGGTGAGTTCTCTGAAGGTGAGAACGCGACGGGGGGTTAAGTGAATAAGCGGGACGGACAGCAGCACTCTGAAAACAGGAGCGTTTGATTTTAGTGTTCCATAAGCCCCCGTAGTCGCAATTTAATAACTAAATGAAGAATGTAACAGTCAAAATTTTAGAGTATGTACTCATTATAATTGAAAATAAATATTAATTATAATCAAAACACAAAATTTATCAATTTTTGTGTACATAAATACTACAAATTCCAATGACACATTATATTCCTCTATACAATACTACGTACGGCCATGAGTGTTTACAATATTTGACCACCAAACGGCTTGAAGGTTGAATTCTGAAGGTGAGAACCAAGTCTTTTCCATTCTCACCTTTGGGAGTTCCAGTGTACTAAGGTTTTTAGGATCGCTGAATCAGCATTTGATGTCAGATTTACGCTATATTGGTTCGCCATTTTGAATTTTTTAAAATTGATCTCAAATTTGGATTCAGCGACCCCAAAAACTTTTAATACGATGATATATTTTTTTTGGAAACTTTTGTTTTAGACCGTTTTGGGCCCACAAACGATTTTTCTACTAGACTGTGAGGGGGTTAAAAATAATTGGTAGTAAATTATATTTAAAAACGATCCGCCTTGGTACTTTAAATTCCGTTCACAAAAAAATGTAATAAATTATAGAAGCGCGAAAAAAATGCATGAATGAACATTGAATGTGAAGAGCATGCCCGCGAGTAATGGGAAATTGATGAATTGGTATTAGTTAAATCTATTTCGTGCTAACATACGTTCGAAGGTACTTTTAGGAGCGAAGGGCCTGAAAAGGCAGTGAATTAATCGAGAGAGAGAGAGAGAGAGAGAGAGAGAGCCCTTCGTGGTAGAAAGCCCCACCCTTTGTAATGCTAATTAGCTTTCAATTAAAGCCGTAAGCCCGACTTTGGAGTGAGTCAGACTGCCTCCGCAACTAACTGTGGATTTTCTGAACCATTTGGATGTACATGTAAATACACGCAGTCCTAAAGCAATCGGAAGCTGCCATGATTGCCGGCTACTCTTCTCTTTTCTCTCATATCTACAATTTTACCTCTCACAAGACTTCTCCTTTCAATTTTTTATACAATTATTTTTCTTACATCTTCTCTTTCTCAATATGAACAATCCATATATAATTTTTTTAGACCAAACAATTTTTTTTTTTTTTTTTCATTCAAAAATAATGATTAAAAATGTAATTTAAATTATTATTATTTTTTTTTTATAGTTCTGAACTCTGACAATTTCTGGTAGGGATTGTTTCATATTTTTAATGACAAAAATAAAGGATTGATTTTTTTTATCAGTTAACAAAATAAGAAAATAATAATTGTACAAAATGAAAAATAAAAACACTTGCAAAGGATATAATTACACTAAAACATATTGTTGTCTTCCTTGAAGTAAAAGATAGTGTGTTTTAACTAGTTTCCTTAGAAATGAGAAATAATTATGATTTCATAATGAATTTATTCGCATTCAT